TAGTCTTGAAGATAAAAGAAAATCCAATTGTTGCTGCCAAGCTTTCAACTATTTTAAGGATGTGTTCTTATATTTCGACCTCAACAGTTTAATTTATGATTTTTCTTTCTTGAAGGTGGGATAATAGGTCATCTCAAAAAAACCACAACCAGTTTTTATCCACAACGTTTCGGATTTATTGTGTACATATATACATATATTTTTGTTTGGAAAAATATAGAAACGTTTGTTCGGAGTTTGAAAGACTGGCTCTTTTTTAAAATAAACTGTTATAAAATATTAATGACTGACGACCACTGTTTTAACCATTGCGTTAACACCTGAGGAAGGATTAAAATAAATCCGAAACGTTGTGGATAAAAACTGGTCGTGGTTTTTTTGAGATGACCTATTATCCCACCTTCAAGAAGTAAAAATCAGAAGTTATACTATTTTAACGTCATCATCAGAGTAAAACCATCTTAAATATAACGATGAACTAGATTATCGACCTGCTGGATACAAGAAGTAACCGTAAGGAAGTTTTCTCTGTTTTGACCTCTTCCGAAGATCCTCTGAAAAGACATCTTAAATATGTTTACAGATTTAAGTTTTTTGAAGGCGATGTCAAATTTCCTTTAAGACCGACTCATCTTTGATTGATTTTAAACGCCAGAAGCGAAATTTTGTTTTTAAATTATAGACCTTTTCATTCTAATCACTGTCGCCTATGCCTCTTATGTAATTTAAGAGAGGTCGAGGACATAGTTCACTTTAGTAGTTCAGTCCTATTTTGTCTCTGCCCCGGTTAAAATTCTTCCAGCAAACTAGTCTTTTTGAAAATGAACTGTTTACATGTTTAAATGGTATCAACAGCCATTACTAGGAAAGTATTTTGTCAGATATGTTGTTTATAAATTTAATACGTTTGTTGTGTTTACGCTTATTTATTGAAACGAAAGTAAATTATTAGCGTGAAAGAAAGGGGGTTGTTTAACCGCAACCGGAGACATCGAGTACGCTGAGGGAGAGAATGTGACGTCTTCTATGTTTGTATAGGGTGTTGGGATTATGTCGATTTATTGACTGCAGGCTGAAAAATGCGCGTGAAATACCAGGAAAAGAACTACAAAACGCAGACGGTCGGCGATGACCTCAGCTGTTTGTTGGACCTTAAATTTCCCACATTATATAATTCAGACAAATCATTGAACATAACAAGTACGAGAAATAGATTGATTGAGTAAATTGAGCAAATACAATAGGTGAAAGGATTGAGAGAGAAAAAAACGTAAGAGAGCGAACGATATAGACTTGGTAGGGATGAGATTATGTGATTAGAACCTAGAGGGACCTTTTAAATGGGATAATAAAATATTTTAATTAATAATTATACCCATTGTTAAGAAATATTATGTATTCTGGATATTTTGTGCACACATGTGTAAGGAAAATTTGAAGAAAATACTCAATGCCTTCGTCAAGATTTGGAGGAATTTATCCCCTTCATCAGGAGTTTGAAACTATTTCTAATGATTTACACGGTCAATAAATATAAATACAAAGTTAAAAATTATAGATTCAAAAACAAAGATTAACGAATTTATGAGTTTAGCTAGTCGCCCATCCATTCTACTTCTGGGTGGTAGATCTCGTCCACACTCTTAAGCTAATCTCATAAATGCATTATGGTAGAAGCCATAAATTTTAATGTTGTAAACAAATGTTTGTAAATTTTTAATGTATAGAAATTAGTGACCGTTAATCGATAGTTATTCAGAAATCGTGAGATGCGGTCGGGTGTGATGTAGGTTTCAGAAAAACATTTTCTTTATCGTGCCAACGTTTCGATCTGTATTGAGATCATCTTCAGGGCCTGGGATTTACAAACATTGTTTACATTTGAGAAATACATTTAGGATGGTGAAAAGTGAATTTATACAATGCAAAAAATGTTTTTCTTTCCTGCTTTTACATACCATTCACTAACAAGGGGACGACTGGTTGGTGGGTCACGAATTTGGACCAGACTTTTTTTAGTGATTCCACACTCGAAAATACACACATCGGACACGAATACGCCACTTCTTTTGATTAGGCCCTGGTTTCGCCAAAAAAATTTTGAAAGTTGAAATTTTCTATTTTTTAATATTTTTATTTTGTCCTGCTACTTGATCATGTTAATTTAACATTTTTAAGTAGATTGCACTAAACAACAAGCAAAAGCCATCAAAGTTGATCAATAACTAAAAAATTTCTAAAAACGACGTATTTTTTAAATAAAAATAAATAAAAACCTTTTTTTTAAACTAATATGAAATTTCATTTTAGCCCTCTAGAGGCCTCTCAATGTAAATTTTTGTTTGAATTAAAATTACTCAATTTTTGATCACTAAAATTTTTCCGATTTTTGAGAAGTCTTTATGGGAATAACTGATTGAAACGGCTGTTATTTAAAAACAGCTAAAAACATTTTTAGTGGCAAACAGACCCCAATTGAAAGAAGAGGAACGATGCATGTACCATTAAAATTTATAAAATATTTCTATAAGAAAATACTCAAAATAGCAACATTATTTGTCAGGCGTCAACTTTTTTAAATGAAATAATAGTTAGATTTTAATGTTTATTTAGTTATAAAAGCAAATTATCAACCATGAACATAGTTATGGGTAACAATTTGTCTGTCGGGAGAATGAAGAAAGAAAAAGAAAGAAAGAAGAAAAGAAAATGAGAAAAGAAGAGAAGAATGAATAATAAATGTGAAAACAAAATGAAAAATACTAATTAATACTACGAATCATCTTCAAAATTGGGCTTACCAAAAAGACAATTTTCTTCTATAAAAAGAAAAGGAAGGATTTCAATAGTGAAGAAATTTATTTATCTATTTATTTTTTATGTTTTATTTATTTATTTTTTTAAACTAAGGCATTGCCTTAGAAAGCGTCAAAAAGAGATGTGAAAGAGTCAAAAGGTGTTACGTTTCTAGACTTAACCCTAGAATGTCACAGTTGCTTATCGCTTAATTAACCACAGGGTGGGGCTTTGAACACTCCTACTTTTATAAAATAAAATAAAAATATATTTCTTTTGTTAAAAATTGAGCTTGTATAGCTCTCGNAATAAGTACATTTATGTACTTGCATGTATTTATGTTTTAACAAATATACAAGTAAAAAATTTTAAAAAAATAGTTATGCATTTTTAAAAAGGATTTTATAATTTACATATATAAATTGAAAAATATGTAAAAATTGGTCTCTCAGACCTGTACACATCATGTATCATAGTGGAGCGAGGATTGATGAGCTTGAACACACAAAGAAGTGGGGTTTTTTCCACTTCAGAAGGCGCCCGATGGAAGAAAATTTGATTTTGAACAAAGTTAAAAGAGAAGAGAGGCCAGGTATACTGTCCCAAGCCAAAAGAGAATCTCTAGCAAAATATGTGGAGAGTTTCAATTCTCTTACCTCAATTGGGGAAGCCTGGTGAAAGATGGGCTTTCCCTGGACGAACTAGGATTCCATTCGTGCCAATACTAAGTATGGAAACATGGTAACGTGACTGAGGCGTCAGATGTTGATGACGAATTGGCAGAATACTTCGCACTTGTGTCAAGTTCCGCAGCTTACTCCGACAGCTTTTGCAGAATAAATACGAATTGACTTTGATGGTGAGAAGAGGGAAATGTATAATTTTCCACTAACTATTGAAGAATTGGATGGTGTACTGGAGTGCGCCAGAAATTCAAAGCCTGGTCGTGATGGTATCCCATGTAAAATGCTATGACACTTTCCCCAGGGTGTGAAGCATAGCCTGTTGGAATTCTTCAACTACATACTACTTCAACCTATCCCAACTGTTGGCAGTGTCATTCCTGTCCTTGGAGCAGGGACCCGAGTCTGGCCATGAGTTAGATATCCCTGACCTTTCCTGAGTAAACTACTGGCGTCCATGTTAAATGGTCGTTTGACCTGGTTTCTTGAGACAAAAGTGGTTTACAGTCAGTATCATGCAGTATTCCATAGGCATAGTTCTGCAATTGATCATGCCTGCTTCCTCGAGAATGATATTCTGCGAGCTGGATTTCAGAGGGAGCAGTTCATCCTAGCATGAAGGTTCCTTGCCAAACCGGTACATCCTTAGATGCCACAGTAGAATAAATGAGTGACCTCACACCCAGACACAGCCTCTAGGAATACACTTCGGCAAAGCCTTAGGGAGGGCAGAGATGACACTTGGAACAGTACTTGAACAGAGCAACCGACCGACTCTGCCTGGGTCCTCCTGGCTATACTCGTCCAGGAAGATTTCACTGTGTTAGCCAGGTCTCTACTGCACCTTTACCAAGCTAAGTTCATGGAGCTTAGGTGTAGGTACACTGGTTTTTGGCTCATATTTACAGAGTGTACGTTCACTTTGTGGTTGCTCCCGCTGCACTGTAGTGTTTATACAGCAGAAGTACATGTGATTTGGCACATGCTTGGTGTGATTTGGGACGATAATGGCTCTGCCTACCTAGCCTGCACCGATTCTCTCAGCGCAGTTACTGCTGTCTGTGACAGATTTTCTGTCGACCTTCTCATAGTGTTTTTGTTGGAGAGATTTCCAACTGGAGCATCTTGGCTAAACGGTGGTTGTTGTCTGGGTCCTGGTGGGACCTGGACACATAGGTCTGGTGGGTAATAAAAAGGCGGCCGATGTTTGGACATCCCAACCTCTGGACTTAACCATTGTGATCTGTCCCTCTGATGCTAAGAATGCAATAAAAATCATGGTTAAAAGATGCTTGCAGCTTCGATGGGTCAGATCACCAGAGCTCTCATGTATCAACAGCATTAAAGATCCTGGTTTGTGTTGAGAATGAATGTATTTTTTTAGATTAAAGCACTAAAAATGTCTTTGAGAGTATATTATATACTTGTTACAAGATAGGTAACTAAATTGGATATAACTGAGGGTATATTTCTGTATTTATTTTACACAAACAATAACGTTAACAATTACGGGTTTTTTTTGTCTCTCTTCAAAACTGATTATTAGTCAATTGCACGGTTCCTCAAATTGCCTTTGTCCTCCTGAAAATTTGATTTATAATTTATGACAAATTAAAAATTATAGAATTTAGTAATACAGGAATTAAGTGTAATAAATTATATAATAATACATTAATGCAGCTGTCAATACATATCTCTCTAATAAGATAACTATAATTAAACTGAAATGAAATTAAAAAGTTCAAACTAATTAATTATGTTTTACACTGATTTTCAATTTGCTATTTGTTGCAGGTGCAAAAAATGATTGAATTGAACTAAGTAAACTTTAATTTAATTGTTTTGCCTCATAACAGTGATTATATAAGTTTAAAAAGACTTGTTAGCTTTATGAAACTATGTTCCATCATGATTATTCATCAATAAAGATTAACTATAATTAATTAACTAATTAAGAAAGATTTTTTTATTTATTAATTTTAGTAAATCAATATCAATTGTACAATATCTAATTATTATATTTTTAATCTATCGCAAATTCTCTACTATGTTGTTTTTTCATAACTTTGGTTAAATTAAAAAAAAAAAAATTCAGAGGGCCTAGTGTCCAATTACCTATTGGGTGTTGTGGACGTGACACTTTTTTCATACTATTATTAATTAAAAAGCCACGGGCACTTCTGGGATTCGATCCCAGAACCACTAGTGTGGCAAATACGGGTCTGAAACCTTAATCACTCTGCACCACCATCCCCTGATAACTTATGTGCTTTAACTGCTTAAACAAGAAAATATCTATTTAAAATTTGCTGCACCTTTAAAACTTTGCTAATATTTGCCAGTTCAGTTCTCAAGGCTGCTCCAATGTGTTCCAGCTTTTTTTTTAATATGATCTCACTAGTCTTCATCTTTTCTGGGTTTGACTCGTTCCACATCTTTAAATAATAATAATTATTTCTCATATTGTTTATCAGGATTTTTATAGTATGTGACTCACTTGGGTTACAATGAGTGTGTTGATTTTTTGCAATTTCTCATTGAGGCGGGTTTTAGTTTTGGCAAGTTTCTCCAGTTTTGCTTTTACCAACATTTCTTCTTTTAGACATTTGTCATTATTGTCACAAATAGCACGATGGGGAACATAATGAATTTGTTTGGTTAACTGGTTCTAAAAATTTGCAATTAGATTTAATTAAAATATGATAGATAAAAAATAATGCATTTAAATTTGCCTTTATATCTTCCAAAAAATAAACAATTTGTTTTTCAATTGATCTAAGTTTGGACAATTCAACTTCAACCATTTTTAAGATCTTCTCTTGCTGAAAATGTTTTAAGGTAATAATTACTAGCTGATTTTAACAGACTTAACAAAATGATATATTTTAAGAAAATAATACTTTACCTCATCTCTTTTCTTAAATACATGAAAAAGGCAAGTTTTCAATTTCAGAAAATGCGCATATACGTGATTAATTTTATATTTTAAATTTGAAAGCTCCTTGTGAATGTTAAATAATGTGAGCCTTTTCTTAGAATTCTTAGCTTCTTTAAGCTTTAATCAAAATAATGTTAATAAATATTATATCGTAATCCATTGTAGTTATACATTAGCTAATATATGTGTGTTGAATTATACTTACATAACATTTTCTCGGCAGACATGAGCCATTAGAGCTGGTCAAACATGGGTTTATTGCTGAAAATCCTTTAATAATTTCCAACTGATTTTCTTGTTCCAAGGCAAGTTTCATTGAGCGTATATGTTTACTTAGTTTATATGAGAGTTTATTCAAAGCCTTTAAATAGTTTCCCAATATTGGTTTTGTCTGGCTTTTTCTATCTATTGGCGAGCAACCGATTTCTAGAACTTTATTGAAAAACTGGTCTAACCCTCTGCACTTTGAAAAATAGTCCCCTTCTACATTTGCTGTATCTGCATATTGCAAAACATTTGGACAATTAGAATATGGTGGAACTGAGAAACAGTATTTTTCTTTTTGTGGATATTCTGTGTTTTCTTTTGTTCTCGAGATTGCTAATTCTTCATTCCTTGAAATTGTGACTAACTGATTTTTCAATAGCATATTTTTACCAGTGCGATTTTTACTTTTTGATTTCATATTTATCAAAATATTTTTATTTGATTTGTCTGTTTTTTTATTAGTCGCTAGTTTTTTCAATCTTTTTTGTTTAATTCGTACATTGTTTTGGCTAGTAGTATTCAAACCATGTTTCAGATTTGTTTTTCTTCGAACGACATTCCCATCTTGAAATGGTCCTTGGCTTGGTTTTTTCATTATACTGACCATACTTGGCGTCATTTGCCATTTTTCGGCTGGTTTAATAACTAACAGTTCATTATTACTGCTACTGCTTAAAGTCCTAAAATTCATTTCACATGTAACAGTAGGTGTTTTTGTACAAGTACCTTGTTCAGAATAACTTTCAGTAGTATTTTCACTGGCTTTATTAGAATTTTGGTTTTTATTGCAACTTTCATTTCTACCATAAATTGAAGCTCTGTCCTCCATACAGTCGTGAGTTTTATTACAACAATGTACAATTTTTTCAAAAATATTTTCACTTTTTTTATTAAAACTTTGGCTTTGATCGTGATTGATTTGATTTACATTTTGGCCAGAAGTTGAATCTGTGACTTCTGTACATTTTTCAGTTCTATTATTATCATCATGTAAAATTTTCTTAAAAATATTTTCACTTTTTTTGTTAAAACTTTGGATTTTTTGATCATGATTTATACTTTTGCGAGAAGTTGAATCTGAATCTTCTGTATATTCTTGTGTTCTATTGAAACCATCATGTAAAATTTGCTCATAAATATTGACACTTTTCTTATTAGAACTTTGGCTTTGATCATGATTTACACTTTTGCTAGAAGTTGAATCTGCATCTTCTGAACATTCTTGAGCTGCATTACAACCATCGTGTACAATTTTGTCAAAAATATTTTCACTTTTCTTATTAGAGCCTTGGCTTTGATCTTGACTTACGCTTTTGCCAGAAGTTGAATCCATATCTTCTGAGCATTCTTGAGCTACATGACAACTATCATGTACAATTTTGTCAAAAATATTTTTACTTTTCTTATTAGAGCCTTGGCTTTGAACATGATTTACACTTTTGCCAGAAGTTGAATCTGTATCTTCTGCGCATTCTTGAATTCTATTAAAACTGTCATGTACAGTTTTCTCATAAATATTTTTACTTTTCTTATTAGAACTTTTGCTTTTATCCAGACTTACACTTTTGCTAGAAGTTGAATCTGTATTTTCTGTACATTCTTGAGTTATATTAAAACTATCATGTACAATTTTCTCATAAATATTTTTATTTTTCTTATTAGAACTTTTGCTTTTATCATGATTTACACTTTTGCCAGAAGCTGAATCTGTATCTTCTATAAGTTCTTGAGTTCTATTACCACTATCATGTGCAATTTTCTCATAAATATTTTCATAGTTTCTGTTTGAACTTTGGCTTTGATTATTATTTACACTTTTACCAGAAGTTGAATCTGAGACTTCTGTACATTCTTGAGTTTTATTACAACTAGCATTTACTATTTTCTCAAAAAGATTTTCACTTTTTTTATTAGAACTATGGCTTAGATTGTGATCTACAGTTTCATCAGTAATTGAATCTGTATTTTCTGTACAGTCTTGTGTCCCAATACAGCAATTATGTACAATTTTATCGTATTTAATTTTACCGTTTTTATCTGAACTCTGGCTGTGACCATGACTTACACTGTTGCGAGAAGTTGAATCTGAATCTTCTGCATATTCGTGAATTCTATTACAACTATCATGTACAATTTTCTTAAAAATAGTTTCACTTTTTTTATTAAAATTTTGGCTTTGATCATGATTTACTCTTTTGTCAGAAGTTGAATTTGTATCTTTTGTGCATTCTTCATTTCTTTTACAATAATTATGAGCAATTTTGTCAAAAATATTTTCGCTTTTTTCATTTAATTGCTCATACGTGGCCTCCATTCTCCAAATAGCGAAACCACCGTCAATTCTACTTAATTGCTCTCTCTCATAGCAATCTCTGAAGTTGAAATCAGGCTCTGCCAATCGAGATATACTGTTATGGTTCCGGTAAAAGCTTTTGTTCTCTTCTTCAACTTCCTGAGGATTTATATTGTCTAAAATATATCTCCTACTGATGCTACCATTTGCGCTATTCTCTTCAATGCAAGTAAATGAGTCCACTTTTTTTATACATGCTTTATTACTATTTTGTTGATTTCCACTTTTATACTTTATGGATTTATCCGACCTATTATGGAGATCTTTGGTACTTTTATTGGATATGTTTTCACTTTGTGGATTTTTTAATTGAGGCTGTTTTTCATAAGCAATGGAGTCTTTGCTTATATTAATAATTTTGAAATTATTAAAACTTTCTATTTTATGTTTCTCTCTAAGCCTGTGAGAACAACTTAAGCTTCGTTTGCTTCTATTAAGATCATTATTGTTGACAGTTGTATGAGGAAGAGAAAGTGATCTTGTCTTATTTGAGAGTTCATTTTTCACTAGTTTAATTGTGTTGTCTGTAATGTCATATATCCAATGAGGCGGGGCGTTTGGTTTGACTTTGTTGTTATCTACTTGTATAGTTCTAAATATTTCAGTATATCTACCAAGTATTGGATTGTATATTTTCGTTTTCAATATATTTTCAGTTGGACTCGAATCAATGGCTGCCACAATATCTTCTTTCTGAGGCAATTTGTTGTTGTATGTTGATACTCCTCTATTTACTACATTACGTGACAACAATCTTACTTCATCATTACGCTGTGACAATAAATGAGCTGATTTACCATTAAAAGAACCTGTTTCAGGAAACTCAATATTGCTGGTGTTTACAGTCCTTCCTTCTTCTGGTAATACAGAGATAATCTTGAAAACATTATTTCCACATGGCTTCATGTCTGTTGAAAAGTCTGTCATTTGACTGTTTTGAATCCCACAGTTTGGTAGTTGTTCAATATTTATAGGTGTTTTATGATTTTTGAACTTATGGTCTTTGCTTTTATCTGACTTAATAATCGATTTTCCTTTACTGCTCAAATTTGATTTGTTTTCTAAATTTATGTCTGTCCTGAATCCTTTTAATTTAAAAGAACTTTCACCATTCTTTTTTGGTAGTAATTTTATTTTGTCGTTTATTTTATTTATATTATTAGATGTTTTAATATTTCTGGTTTCTTTCATTTGAATGGAAGCTTTATAGAGAGTAGAAGGTCCTGAATTTAATTTAACTTTGGAATTTTTTACTTGGTTTAATGATGTTTTATAATCTTTGATTTGATATTCGTTGTTACCCTTCAGGGATTCAACATTCTTTTTATCCTTACTTCTGTCTAGATTAGTACTGTCATTACATTTTGAATTTAAATTTTCATTCTTTTTTAATCCCTTTTGTGGTAAAGGTGGAGAAATAAGGTTGAAAAGGAAATCCATCATTGTTTTCGTTGGGTCTTTTTCTTGGCCTGTTGGATTTGATTCCAACCAATTGAGACTGTCTAGTCTTTTTTTAATTTCTTCTAAGTAAGAACTCTGATTGTAAAAATTTGCTGGGCAAGATTCACTCGAGCAATGTTTAGATTCCTTGGGGAACTTATTTTTTCTTAAATCTAATGCTTTATCTACCTGATTTGATGCATTACTCTTTGAAATATGTGCTTTATTTTTTTGAGTAGAGCAACTTTTTTGATTCTCTTCTTCTTCTTCCTTTTTTTTGCGATAATTTTCTTGCCAATCAGTGTCCGTTTGCAAACTTACTTCACCAGTTCTTTTAATATTTGAACTACTTTTGTTTATCTCTTTATTGGCAAAATCTGAGGTGGTTTGAATCATTTTGCTGTATTTAACTGAATTTTCAACTTTTTTATTATTGGTTAATACATTGCCATCCTTTACCCTTTCTAGAACTATACAACTCTTTTTGCTAATGTTGGCATTTAAAAGTTTATTGTGTTCAGTCTTACCTTTCTTGTCTAGGTGTTCTGCACTTTTTGCTCTAACAGTAGAATGTGAACGTATTTTTTTCTCAAGGATGGTTTTCATAGTTTCAGTATCACTGGATGTATTATGACCTACATTGTTTCTACTATTATGATCTACTAAGTACTTCAAAGAATTGTTGTGATGGGAATTATGGGTGACCTGTGTTATGTCACTTTCTGCTCTCTTTAGCTTGGTCTTATGCAAGCTTATTGAACTTGTCATTTTTATGCATGGTTTTGTACATGCTTGTGTTAGCTGTCCTTTAGAAATACTTGTTGAAACATCTTTTGTGATTTTGTCTTTGCATTCCTTGGACAATTCTATTGGCTCGTATTGAGTACTGTGTGACTGGATAGGGACTTTGGATACTGAACTATTCTCTATGGATTCTGGATATTTTGGATTACCTTTAATTTCAATGCAACACTGAATGCTATCCGTACTGAAATTTTGTTTTCGGCCAATTGTGTGATCACAATCTTCTTTTTCGCATTCAAACCGTATTTTATTTAAGTGTCCTCTTTTGTTATTTTTTTTAATTTCACTGTCTGTTTGTGTCAGCCGTGCCAACCTTTCTTTCAAGCATTTTTTTTTAAGGGCCAACACATTTTTGTCCAAATTCATTATTGTTGATTTTGTTGGTGTGTTTTTAGCCTGATATCGTATCCACTGTTTGTGGTTTTTTTTGGAAATATATGAAGGAATGCCTGTATTTTTTATCTGTTCGTTGAAAGCCAATTGTTGAACGTATACCATTTTCTCAATTTGCTCATTTGGAAACAAACATGTATTTGGGTTGTTTGAGATTTTTTTTGTTCTCTTTGCTTTTAATGGCATTAGATATGGATACAATCTATCTTTGTTCATATTTAACAAATAAACTTTTTGCTTTTCAATACTGTCATGGTTTCTCTTCTTATGAATATTTCTATCTAAAGAATGATAGATTGTATCTGTTAACATTTTTTTCTTGCGTTTTCTATCTTTAGAATCTATTACTTTTGCAGTTTCTAGCAACTTTAGTTTAGATCTTTTGTCTGAATTTCGACCAGGTAGTTTTTGTTTAGAACAAATGCCATGATTCATATGGGCATAATTTTCATTTTCACATACTTTATTGTTTTCTGATTTAGTATATAAACCTTCTTTCGGGTCAAAGGGAAGACAACCACATGATATCAACTTCAATTCTGAACAATGTTGCTTACAATGTTTTAACCCTGTGATAATTTCATCTTGGTCTAAGCTGTCTGTTTGACTTGAATCTTGATTATATTTTGAGGCAGGAGAACAATTCTCAATAAGAAGTGGCATCAGTTGATAATCATTATTTCCTTCAAAAATGTTCTTGCCTGCTGTATTGGTGCCTTGTGTTACTTTACTCTCACTTTCAGGAAGATCGTTAGCATTGACATTATTTTCATGTTCAGAGCTTAATTCTTCAGCTATTTCATTTTCATTTTCATCAGAGGAATTTTCTTTTTCATTCAGTGATGTAGTACCAGTTTGGTAGTGAGGACATGATTTACTTACATGACCTGCCATATTCTCTGAAGCTTCAAAATCAATTATGGGTATATTAAAAGTAGATTGAGACGTGAAAGTCCTATGATCGGGTAAGGACCATTTTGCAAAGGAAGATGTGTAATATCTATCTTTTCCTGAATTTACTGAATCTGAAGTTAAAACTTCTATTTTCTTTTTTTTGGCAGGACTGAAAAAAGATTCATTTTGATATTTGGTTTTTCTGGAAATAGGTTTACTTGGTAAGTCATTTTTTACTGTTCTTAAGTCTGGTAGAGTCCATGCCGCAAAATTGGTTTCACTGACAATAGATACTTTCTCAGGAAAAGAAGGACTTTTTTCATTCTTAGCATCAGATCCAGAATCACTAGTAACATTGGGTTCTAAATTGTGTGTATTTGGTAAAATAGTAGAGTCAGGTTTAAATGACTTCAATTGTTCTTGTGTAACTAGTTGTTTGGAACTTTCTGCCACACATTGTTTAGTGTAAAATGTGCAATGGTTGCCACTGGTAATAGGACTATTAAATAGTGTAACTGCTGACGGCACGACTGAGACTTGGTCAGTGAGGGAAGTTTGTACAGCAAGCTCACATTTATGTCCATTTGACATAAAGAATGGTTTTGAATTGCAATTTTCAGAAGGAAATTCATGATTTTTAGTGAATGTACAGTGTGATGTACAATTAAAAGCTAATGATTGTTGATTTTGTTGGCTGTTTTCTTCAGTTGAATTACCATTTGTATTTAAATTATTACTAATTTTATGTTGACTTGTGCTTGTATCTGATGATGTTGTTTGTTGACTTGAAGAGTCTGATGATGACAATGTATTACATTGAGCATTTTTGTCATTCATTGTTGATACTAGTTTGTTTTGTTTGGAGAGCGATGATGTTATTATATCAAGGAGTTCACATGCATCTCTCGCAAAACACTCACAAGCATCTGTTTGTGCGCAGGTACTTTTAGATTTACTCAAATTACTATCTGCACTAAGAAAATTTATTTCAGTTTGCACTTCTTTACAAAAACATTTACTTGGTGTTTTATTGACTGCATTTTTATTTCTATTTTCTGTAGGCAAACAATCACATGCAAAGCTTGTTCTGGACATTTCCTCGGAGATATCTGACAGATCATCCTTGCACTGTGTTTTCAGTTGAAAAGAGGAAACATTGAGTTCACATTCTTGTTGTTGTTTGTTGTTTTTAACACCTGAATAGCTACAAGGCATTACCAAAAAATTTTCAGAAAATTTATACGTTCCTTCATTTTGTGTAAAAGTACTATTTATACTGCTATTGGTCCTAATATTTACTTTGTCAGTATGCCTTTTTTTACTTTTAACACTAGAAGAAGTTTTTCGATGTTCCTTTAATCTCCTGGCTTTTTTTGAATGCAAGTCACTTAGTGATAACTTATAGTCATCAGTTTGTGAACAAAAAGTTGAAATGTTTTTCCTAACGTTTAAATTTTTGCAATTCAGATATAAATTTTCCTCTTTCATTTTATCTGATCTATTTATGCTCATTTTATTCTCGATTGATTCAATAACAGATTTAAGCTTATTATCTATTTTTTTTGTTTCCTCATCAGCATTGGCAATGTTATTCATACATTGCTTTTGTATTTGAAATGAAATTTTGAAGTTATAATCTGGTGATTCGCTCAATTGAATATCTGTAGAATTACTATTTGGTAGTTCATCAAATGTCTGTTTGTTAATTGAATCGAATTTGTTAAATTCAGACAAATTAATATCATCCGATTTAACTACAAAATTTTGCGGCTTCTCACGATCACTCTTCACAAGAGAGTCAAGAGGATTTGATATTGACTGACCAGCTTCTTTAGGAATGCTAATTTCTGTTTGACACAGTTGTGTTTTTGTCTTTCGTACAATCTTTGAGACCATTCTAAGTGGACTGTGTTCAGCAGATGACTTAGATGCTGGAGATACATCACTATTCGTAACTGACATATTTATTTTTGGGTTGCTCTTATTTATTTTTGGGTTTCTTTTATTTGAAAAAACATATTTAAATCTCTCATCTGAGTCTCCAAAAACATTTTCACATAATGCTAATACATTACAAATATTAGCCGAATCGACTGTATCACTTTTGTCATTAAAAATAGTCGCAGTGTTACATATTTTGTTTCTATAATTTGAAAATCCAAAATTTTCACATGTTTTTAAGGAATTGAGGCAATTTTGACTTATTCTACCACACTGACCAGATGCCACCATTAATTGCCTACCAGGAATTGGTGGATAAAATGGACACATAGTTTTGTTTGATGGTGGTTTGACACAAGCAAATCTCTTTTTAAATAGCTGAGACAGAGGTTGACATGTGGTGGTTGGCATTTTACTACAAGGATTTGTCTGTGCACACTTTGGGCTTAATGGGCAAGAAGTAAAGCAACCTGAAGGCTTAGGTGGGCAGGATTTAATTTTTTTCATTAATTGCCTAAGTTTATTCGAACGATTTTCGATGCAGTTAACCGGCATTGGAGTAGAAATATCTTTTACACAGCTTGAGGGACATACATTTTTCTTTTTTTTCTGTTTTGCGAGGGCGTTGCAGCCATCATCTTTGGGATATGGAATTGGTCGACCACATTCATCCATAATCATTTGTTGTCCAGAGCTGTCTGTACATACTTGAAAATTTTGTTCATCGCGATTCTGCCCAAAATTGTAAACTGGACATACTTGACCGCCTTGGTATGGACATGCTCCACTAGTAGGTTTATTTGGACAAGGGTTGTTGCAAAAATTGTTTTGGGTTTGTTCACCTTTTTTATCAGCACGGACTGTGGTACTGTAAGGACCACGTTTTCCTCTTGGTGATGAAAAATTATTATTCTGGCGCATCTTATCTGGGCATATGTACTGATCTTCTGTTGAACGGGATTCAGTCGGACATGTAGAAAATGCCCCATTATTTCTTGAGTTACCATAACCTTGTTTGGCATTCGTTTTGTTGTACCGACCTGACGCTTTTGCCGTTAGATTGTAATTTCGATTTCCATTGGGGGAGATTTCTTGTCCTATAATCTGATCTTCACAATTCTGCTTAACGATATATTGCTCTGATTTATCACCACATACTTCTGTCCTTTTTCCAAATTGTCTTTTCTGTGTAATTTTCCCACCGTCTTCTTTCCTTGCAAAGTCATATGGCTTTGTTTGGTCACAGTTATTTCCTGTCATGTTTGCTCCATATTTGAATGGACATATATTTTTATTGCATTGACAATTACAAGTAGAAGAATAATTTGTTGTGGGTTGCATGCAAATTATTGTTGGTTTTGGGCAATTGTCTTTTTTGTAAACTGAAAGTTGTGATACATTATTAGGCATACAACCCGTTTGCCACATTGGTGGCTGTTTTTTTGAGAAACTATTACAGAAACTAGTTAAACAAAGACATGATTTTGAATTGGCATATTGTCCTTTATTTGTGTGGAATGGTGTTAATGCTACATAACTTAATGTGTCCTTTTTCTTAGTGTTGGAGTTTTGCCAAAGATCATTACCGACATTAGCAACTGACTCATTATTTACAATGCTTTGACTTGTTCCCATTTGTTTTGACTTACTCAATTTAATATTTCCTTGGATAGGAATATTTGTCCGTAAAAAAGTTGTCTTTCTAGTTCTAATATGCTTAATGTTTTTCAAATAAGAATGACGTTTATATTTGGTTAATTTGGAAGTAAAATTGGATTTTATTTTTGAACCACCACATTTAGAAATATGTAAAACCCTTTTAACTATTTTGTTGGAACATTCATAATTTTCAGACTGAGATAAAGTTTCGTTATAAAATGGAAATTTACTCAAGCTGTTCACATTGTCTATTTCATTATTACTTGGACCGGGGTCATTATTTTGATCATTGATTGGTTGGGCCGTGTCATGATCATTATTTCTTTCATTTTGTGATTTCTCTATAATATTCTGCAATTGTTGTATAGATGAATTATCTGTAAAGCAAGTAGTAGCATAAACTTTCATATCATTGTGTGCACAGAAAGTCTTTGAAACAAAAACTTTTTTACTTCCATTTGTTTTAAAAAAACTATCATTTGGTGGTGAAAATTTGCAATGTTGAATTTGTTTAGCATTTTTGGAATTTCTTTTACATTTACAATAACGATAAGCTAACTTTTTTGGATCTGGACAGTTTGAATTGTTTCTAAGCTGTTTACAGTTACATTTCTTCTTGCGCTGTTGTGACTGTTTACAAACAGAATTAATTCTAAACTTAAGACACTCCTGCAGCTGAGCAATTTTGTCACATTCTTCACTTTTTTGCCAGCATGATTGCCTTAGATAATCACTAGTTCCAAATTGCCCTCCAATTGTACATTTTTGGTTTGCAGGAAACTGGCCACTTCTACATAGCTGTCCAATGTTCCAAGATGAGCAATTATATTTTCTGTTTGGACCGTCTTCCGACATTTGAGCATTGTACTTGCATGTGGTGCTCTGATTTGCTGACACACTTCTGTATGACATTTTGCTTAGATAATTATCTTTCGCTCGATTAAAATAATTACATTTAGTGTTATCGTTTAGTCGGTTAACAGAATTCCTCTTCCTTTTATCATTTTTACTATCAGTGGAATTCTCATTCCCTTTATCATTTACCCCATCAAGATCATATGGTGATTCCAATTCAGCGTTGTTACCAGATAAAATACATGTTGGTTTTACATTGTAAGGTTCATTCACATCTTCGCTCACTTGGTCACATATATCATTTTTTTCAATATTTTTACCACCTGTGCAACCATCGGTTGGCCTTATAAAATTGCATTTAGTAAAATCAGTACTTTCATCAGTAAAGGGTGTAATTTTTTGTTCATTTTCCATTTCATGTTTTAGGCCTTCATCAAAATCTTTACCATTTACACCAGCATTACAGCTTTGTTTTAGTTGAATTGGTTTACGTGTATCACTTGCATTGCAAACCGAATTTTTCTTTAGATTACATATGTTTTCATATCCTGAGTTTATTTTTACTCCACATGGCGAGGGAAAGTAACTGGGACATTCTTGTTTAGTTTCTTCACCTGAATGGGGGGATGTTTTTGTACTCCCACATTCATATTCATTCATATTTTCATTTTGAAGTAATAAACTTTCATCTTGGTTTTCAAAATAAAACTGTTTTTCTGTTATATCTTGGTTTTCCTTCTGGCATTGGCACCCATCATATAATTTTGTACTGTCGGGAATATTTTCCAATATTGGAACAGTGGGATCATCTTTAAGGCATATGGAATTCATATCAAATTTTGCTGGGGAGACATATGTTTTTGGCCTACAAGGACATTTACATAATTTCTGTAACTTTGTTTCATTACATGGCATAGGTTCGGGTGGCCATTCTTCAACATTTTTTTTATTGTCTGTACCAGAAATACATGTGTTTCCCTTGTCACTTGCTAAGTTTGAATATTTTTGCGTTTTAGGTTTTACGGAACATACATTAACTTTTGGATTTTGTATATTTTTTTGTTTAATTTTGCCTTTTCCGGTTTTATTTGTTTTTTTCTTTTTATCTTCATGTTGGTCTCCAAGCAACTTTCCACAGTCTCCCATATCTTGCTTTCTTTTAAATCCACATTCCTCTATGTTTCTTACATTCTCTATATTATCGCAACAAATTTCTGGGCCAGTTCGTTCTGTAATAGGTTCTGATTCAAATGTACATTTTATGCTAGTTGTGTCATGAATCATGTCTCCATCTTCTGTATTGCAATTGTCATATTTAATTGAATAAATAGGGTTTGTAAATACATCTGTTCTAGTTAATTTATCCATATCTACTGTTAAAACGTTGGGAACTTTGCCATAAGGCGATTGCTGGTAACAACTATTGTTGAATTTATACAAATCATGTGGTCTTCCATGAAAAGTTGCAGGAACATTGTCAGAACTGGGTGATCTTTGAATATTTTCTTGTCTGGGCTGTTCACATTTTTTGTTTATTTTATCCTTATCTAAATATGGATTATACATTGTTGTACCATCAGTACAGAGCGATTTGTTTTTTTCAGCAAATGATGTTGGATTTGTAGGTTGTATGTCTTTTTTTTCACCCTCACATACCCTGGTATTTTTTTCTCTGTCTGAAACGCATTTATCCCTTAAAGCTTCTTTTTTGCTTATTCCTAAGGATTTTTGGTTATATTTATTTGTGCTAGCATTTAATACACTTACACACAATTCGCCCGGTTTAGAATCTTCCTTAGAAGGTTTAAAGTCTTTTTCAAATGGAATAGGAAACGCTTTAATCTTGATTAACTCAGATGGGCAGCTACAAAGTTTAGAAGCAGATAAATCTTTTAAATCATTTATGATGCCAGATGCTGCTGTAGAAAGATGTGTATTATTTTGTTGGCGTTCAGTTTCATCATTTTGACAAGCAACACTATTTTTTGTGGCATCAGGTTTTTCTTTATTTATTAAGGTGTACATACATTGTTTTTTTTCTTGACAAACATCACAAATAGTGTCTGTCTGGCAAAACTGATCCTTCAGTTCCTTATCAGCATTATTACCTAACAGATGATTTTGTTCAACGTAGCAACATTGATCTTGTGTTTTTGGCAGTTGTATTGGTGGTAACTCTTGGTTTTTAGGGGAATTGGCACAATCTTGGTCCTCTACATTTTTTCCCGGTTGTTGGCATTCAGGAAATGAACTTTGCGGTTCTGCATCTGGCATTGCTTTCTTACATCTGTAGCAATTCTTCTGTATATTATTAAATGGCAAAACCGAATGGAAAGAATTGAACAAATTGTAATCTTTCTCCCCAATGTAGCGAACTTCAGTTTCATTTTCCCATTTTACACGATTGATATCTTGTATCGATTTTTTACACCTTATGCAACATTTACCTTCTGATTTTTTGAGTTTTGGTTTTGTTAAACCGCTAACATTGCCCAATTTACAAGTTTTCCCTGGAAAGTAGCATCTTGCTGATTGGACACATATTTCGCTTATACACTTTGGAATTTCAAACCATTTTGGGCATTCGTAACTTCTTTTTTCTCTGATTTGTTCTACATTGAGTACAGTGGTAGATGTCTGTTCAAATACTTCATCACTTGAACTATACAGATCATTTAGTGATTTACAGTTCCTTAAAAATAGATTGTTTGTTTGGGGGGAATCGATTATCTCTGGTGGCAAACAAACTTTGTACAATGTATGCTCTTTATATAAATGTACAGTATTGTTAGTTGTGTCACTTTCAACATTATTGGAATTTGTCTGAGAACTCTCTATTCCTATTGAATTGTACCCAATAGGTTTATAATTGTTTGCCATTTTGTAAAACAGTCTATTTTTATCCAACATTGTATCATTGTCTCTTTTTTCAAGGTATTGTCGTCTGAGCTGATGAATGTATTCATTTTCACATTTTAAAAAATCATCTTTTATGATACTGATAGCTGTGCTTTTTTGGCAGCTGTTTTTGCTTTCATCTGTCAACCAAATGCTATTACTGTCATTTGTTAAAACTCCATCTAAATTTTTTGTATTAACTTCATGGCTCTTACCATCTTCCATAAAGCTTTCCATACAGTTTTTACAGGGGCCGTCGCTGGATTTGCATTGTTCGAAATTACCCTCCTGTTCAAACTGAAATTGCATTTGTCTCAAATCTGCTTCAGCAAGTCCTTCAACATTTTTTGTTAAAGTATCACTTTCTGGCATGGGTAGATGAAACAGTGATAGAAGGGACGTGTGGCAAGAAGAAGTTTTGACATATTTCAAATCAGATTTTGGATGTGAATTTGACGAATCGACATCGGAGGTGAATCTATAATTTGTCGATAGTGTAATGTCATTGCTCAACTCCTTTTCTAAATCGCTCAGCTCAAGTGTGACCGTCGAAGCACTTCTTCTTACTTTATCGATAATTGCCCAAGAATGTCGTGCTTCTGTGTTACAGCTGTTCAGCAATTTTTGGAGTTCTTGGTGGAGCTCAAGAACATTACTCCATTCATTATTTACCTCGATGTTCATCTGTGAAAGTAATTGTGTCAATTCGTCTTTCTTCAAGAGATCCATTATTTTGAGATAGAGCAGAGGAGGAAACCTTGAAAAAAGCGGAAGTGGATTTTATAAAATACATAGTTTGCTTACAACAAATTGATTTTGTATTTATTTATAAAGAATTAAAATTTTATAGTATACAGTAATGGATAAAATTACTTTACTTAACATCTATGTACTTATGTTTATAAATTTTAACTTAAGCTTCAAGAATGGAATTTTACAAGATGTCAGGCCAGCGATAACCTCAGCTGTTTGTTGGCCTCTAAACTTCCACATTATATATTTAACATGACTTAAAAAAATAACATGTAATACTGTAGATAGAAAACTATTTAAACTTTGATTTAGTGACAACTAACTACTAAAATACTGCAGGATTAAGTTTCATTAAAAAAAGGATTAAATTTCATCTGATAATTGCAACAAACAAAGATAAAAATGCAATAAAATAAGGTGATACAATTTTTGAACTCTAGGTATTTGTTATTTTTTTACATTATGTTTGACAAAGTATGAAGATCTAACTTTTTCATTGCTTATGAAATGTTTTTATCTTGTTATATTCCAGAAATTTTTAAGCTAGATAATCATTTTTCCACTTACCTTGTTTTTTCTTTTTTATTTGCTCTATTGGTTCATAATGAATGTTTTGCAAAATCTCAATTTTAAACAGTTAATGCTGCACCGATTGTTCATAAACTCTTGTCTCATACTAAACATCGAAACTGTAATGGTAGAGTGTGTTAAAACGGATTTTTATGTAGATTTGTGATATTTCATGTAAGTGTCTGTTTTATAAATGTTCATGAATATAAAAATAAATAAAAACATTACACATGATGCTTGAAAATCCATTTTAAATTATAAACACTCAATCGATTTAAACCAATCACTGTGGGGTGAAGTTCAAATTAAAATTTACAAACTTAGTCTATTAAGCCTTCAGTAAGTATATACTTATATTCTGCGCTCTTGAAGAGCTACAGAACCTTTGTCTCATACTTCAGGTCATCTATAAATTTGATTATCCTACCCTAACCACTAACATCAATGGTTATGTAAAAAAAAAAAAAAACAACGGTTTTTCCAGCAGAATCCACAGTTACAAGTTTTGGAGTTTCATCTGTCAGTTATAAAAACCTGTTACAATTCTGAGTTGCTTCCTACTTCCATTTATTACTTTTAATATTTCAACATGTTTTGCTAGGAGATTTTTATTGCCTACATCCAATGCATAGCAATTTCAGTTGGTCCTCATCTCTTATGATTTATAGACTTTGTATACTGTGTATGTTTATCACATGATAGGTGAAATGTGTGCCAGTCCTTTTCATGCAAGGGTCTCTTTTCTAATTGTGTAATTAACAGAGGGGGTCGATTTTATATTTTAATAATCTGTTTAGTTCGCTTTTGAAAATGATCAAATCACCAAATCATCCTGATTACTTTGCTATCTGCTATGATAGTCATATATTTATTCGTATATTTGTTCATATTTAATTAAGCTCATCTTGTTTGAAACTAAATTGGGGTTTTTGAGTGATTATCTGGACCATCTTACATTCAAGACCTGTCAGGGTACCAATATCTGTTGTACTTTTTTTAATAAAGCTTTTTTTAAAATCCCAACTCTTGTACACTACCGAGTGTGAACTTCTTTTTAATTAGACCATGATTTCTTATGTCGTCTTAATTATTTTCAAAAATCATGGTTGCCAAAATAATTAAGACGACATAAGAAATCATGGTCTAATTTAAAAAGAAGTACACACTCGGTAGTGTACAAGAGTTGGGATATTAAAAAAGGCTAGAAAATTCAATTTCAATTTATTGTTAGTTATTGCACCAATTATTATACTTCTCTTTTACAACTGTTAATCAGACATTTAATTAATTTTAATTATGGTATGCAAGAGTTATCAAATTAAATATTGTTTTAAATGATTGGGAGTTTATTAATTTTAGAGCAAATGCCCCTTCAATTAATTTTCCAGTTGTTAATAAAATTAAACATTAAACACCACACAAATAAAATTAAAGTAGGTTTTTCATTACTTAATTTTTCTATTGTACTACATAACAGTTAAAACTTATTAGGTGTTGATATAATTTTTTATTGAATATGATATACATAATGGGCATTTCTAGATCTGGTGGACATTAATACGTATTTACTTTTTTCTTGTATTGAGAGAATTTTTCGTTTTATCAGAAAACCGCCGTCTAAATTTTTCAATGAAACTCTCTAGAATTTGGTAACAAGCGTTATTATAAAGAATTGTCATTTAATACTTGAACTTTGTACCTTTTTTTGCATTTGATCTATCTTTTGCTGCTCTCTCTCTGTGCCTAATGCGATAAGATTTATTAGAATTGTAAAAATCAATTATTTGCGGATATCTGTACCTTTTGCGAGCTCCAGTGGTTATCTTTAAATAATTCTTAGTTTCTTTGCTCGAACTTTCTGTTAGTTCTTCATTCTCTGGAAAAAAAGTAAAACACATAAAGCAAATAAGTTCATAAATGAAAAACAAAACCACTAAATGTTCATATTTTCTTTGGTGATTGATCAGCCTTCTCAGTTTAAATATATTTTTTTCTTTCCAAAAGGTAGATTGGGGATGAGGCCAGGAAGACAGAAACAACATTTATTTTCTTGTCGAGCTTTCAGCGGAATATATCGCCTTCATCAGGACTTCGAAAAAAAAATTTTTGATTTTTTTCAAAGTCCTGATGAAGGCGATATATTCTGCCAAAAGCTCGACAAGAAAATAAATGTTGTTTCTGTCTTCCTGGCCTCATCCCCAATCTACCTTTTGGAAAAAATATACTAAATGTTCATCTAATATTAATATACCTTTGAGGGCTGTTTGAATTCGAATAAGTTCGTTTTGTAAAATCTCTTCAATGTGTTTAAGTCTTTCTTGAAAAGTAATTTCATTTTTACTACTTTCTACTTTTAAACAATTCTGCAAATATCACAGTGTAATAATTTAAATCTATTTTATAGTTTATTAAATATATTGAAGGAATACATTTTTTTCTGCTGGTCCATTACTTAACGAATAATCTTTATCGCCCTCTATACTATGCTGAAAAATAATAGAAAAGTTAGAACAATTTTTAATCTAAGAAGATAAAAAAAATATCTGTTGAGTTCACTACAATTGCAGTTTCTCTGAAAGTAAACCAGCTGTCAAAATTAGAGTGTAAATGTCCTTCTACATGCTAAAACTGTATTAAAACAGCATTAAAACAATTAGTTAAAAAAAAAAAAAAATCCAATTACTAGAAAGCCTAGATAAAATATTGAGAGGGTAACACAAGGTAGTTTATTGTATGTACATAATCACCCAGCATTATGTACATACTTGTGCAGATTTGAGCTTATATAAATTAGTAATTAGTAAACAATAAACCACTGAGTGAAAGGAGGAGTTGTAGATTAAACTATGATGAATATGACAACCATAAATCTGCTCACAAAAAATTTGTTACAGCATAATTGTGTTAGGGTAAAGAGGGAGAAAAGCTGAAGTTGTGGAAATAAAAAATTAATTAACCTGTAAACTAAATTTCATTGATTGTAATGTTCTGTTTCATCAGTAAAAAATTATTACTAATTACCTTCAACTCATGAATAAGATCATCTATCTCTTTCTCAATAGACTTGAGTTTTTCTAGTTGCTCATCTATTGACTTAATCAGGTATTTATGCTGAAATTGCATATAAAATTAAAAAATATATAATCAAAACTTGAAAAATTGCAAATTTAACCTCAATGTCTGTAAGTGATTTATTTGAAATGATCTCTTCACGGAGATGTAAATATGGAGTTTGATCAATTTGAGATTTTAAAGTAGACAGCTCTTTTTGGACATAAAGCATAGTACTTTTGCTAACTTTGTATTTTGAATTGCTTTTCTGAGAGTTGGAATCATATTTTGAATATTGTGCCTGGCTAAAATCAGCTAATCTTGGTGAAGAGACACCATCCTAAAATAAACCATTATGTTATTTTTTACAATGTTATTAGTTATAATGCTAAATTACTATTATTAAACTTGTTTTGTAACCGTTAAAAATATAGTAGATCTTACACAATCTTGATTTCTTTGTTTTGTAGATTTGTCAACACTAACTAGATGCATGTACAATTGCCGCGATCTTTCTTTGCTATATCCAGAAGAAGAATTAGCATGAAAATGGCTTATGAGCTTTAGGTTTTCTTCGTCTAAAGCAAACTTCATTAGTTTCAACTGATCATCTAGTGTACTTGACAGCTCATGCAGTGATTTCAAATATGTGTCGATGGCTGTCTTAGACAAATGACTTTTTTCTGTCGAATCCAATGAAAATGAAAATAGATCATTTATTGTAAAGCATGGGAATGTCACGTAAGTGCTTGTCTGTTGAAATGAATCTCCTTCTGCTCTTGGCTGAATTCTGCTGGCTGAACTAGTACTGTATGAACATGAAGGAGTCTTGGTCTTTGTTATTGTAGAATAAATTGGATTTTTAGTTTTCTTAGAACTCAACTTTGGCATATTTAATTCATTTGATTTAGGTTGATGACCACTTCCTACCATTGTACTTACAAAATTTTTATATGATTCTGACTCAAATATAGGAAAAAAAGAGTCCTGGTCATTAGAAATTTTATGGCTCTTTTTCCTTTTCTCTAATTTAATGTTATCTAAAAGTTGTTCAGTTTTCTTTTTTGAAGATTTTCTTTTTGCAATTTGCTCATCTCTAATTTTTGTATTTTTCTCCATACCATTCAATTTGTCATTCTTCTTTGATTTGTGCTGGCTTGGCCCTTGAGTACATTTTAAAATGCTTTCAATACTTGGAGTGACTTGCCATTTTGCGATAGGTTGAGCGTAGTAAGTACCATAATCGTTTTCAGTTCTACATTGTTCTTTTGTGTTGTTTTTTATTTCAATTTTTACTGTTGGTGTATGACTATGAACAAATCGATCTTGAGCCATATTAGTGAGTTCACTTTCTAATTTTGTACTCTTACATTGACGCTTTGATTCACCTTGGACATCTTGCATATTTTGTTTCAGGGAGTTCAATTGATTAGACGAAACAAAAAAATCTTGACCAGGTTTGGTTGGTGCTTTACTTGTTGAAGGCCGAAAACATAAAATCTCATTTTCTTCTCTACTACAAACCAAGCATGCAAGTTGGTTGCAATGATGTTCATTTTTGGAATCATTTTTATTTTTTAATTGTTTTTCCTTTATTTGTGACTTGGGCTCACAAGCAACTAAGTCTTTATTTTCTTTTATGAATATTTGAGGTGTCTTTTTAGTTGAAGTAATTACCTGATTAATAATTGTGTTGTTTTCTTGTCTGTGCAAAACATCAATATTTAGTTGTTTCAAAGTGTCGTTTGTTTTATTTTGGTGTGGATTAAGTCTGTTTTTATTAAATGTTTTAAGCAACACATTTTCTTGTTTGTCATTTTCTTGGCGTTTCCTATTATAGTGAAATTCTTTGAATTTGTGCTTGTATTTGTTAGAGTTTTGTTCTGCTTGTTTTTTACATTCTGCTTCTAGAGCAGCTGTAATTTGCTCGAGGAAGTGGTTACTTTTATCTCCTAACCGTTCATAGCTGCCGACTGATGAAGGCTGTTTTAGCATTAATTTTTCTTCTGGAATACAGGGCTGAATATCCGGTGATTTAATTGAATCTTTTCCAGACTGATCTTTATTGTGCTTAAATGTAAATTTGAGGTCATTCTTATACTGATTGCAAATTTCACAATCAATTTCATGATTGTAACTCTGGTTTGTTTCTTTCAAATCATTCTCTATTTCATTGGTTTTTAAGTGGTCTTGATTTGTATCGCTTGTTGAATTGTTATTTTTAGTTGTAGAATTTTCATTTTCAGTAACACCTTGATGAAAATTCATTATGTCAGTTGAATGTATTGTAATTTTATCAGTACTAGGATATTTAGACTCCATTTTATCTGATACGTTATCAATATTTAAAAATTCTTCTTTAGCTGTTAGTTTGTTTTCAGTCATTCCTGCTGTCTTATATTCATCAGTATCATTGGCAATTGTTTTTTCCTTTGTGTTATCTTTGCCAGTGTTTGTGTTCACTTCTGTTATATTAAGCATATCTGTATTACTACCACTGTTATTAGTAACAATATTAGTAGTTTTTACTTTGCCTATTGTTGATATTTCATAGTCATCTTTTTCATTGCTATTATTTGTTTGCTTGGAGAACTTATCATTATCTTTGAGTTCATTTATTTTTGCCATTTCATGTTTATCTGCTTCTTCAATGTTTGTGTGTTTAGTTTTGTCTCTGTCATTGTATATGATTTCGGTTATTTTTGTGGTTTCATGTACAATGTTTGATTGCTTGATGTCGTTTTTATTAGTATTCGTGAACCCAGTCATTCCAGTTGTACAATCACCCGTATTGACGATATCTGTGTTCTGAATACTATTTTTATCATGATACTTGGTTACATTTATATTTGTCATTGCATCTTTATCATTTAAATCTTCATTTTTATATGGTTTGGCAGTATTATATGGGACACCTAAAACCCAAGGTGTCAGGTATAATTCTGAATCATAATCATTTTGCAAAGGAGGAGATGTTCTGTTCTGAAAAGATGATTCTGATGGTCGGTCTAACTGCCTCTTTTCAGATAAAGGGGATTCTCTATCGGTAACTTTTTTTTGAGAAGTGTTTTCTGATAATGTGTTGCTTTGCTTGTAGGAGCTTGTTTGTGTGTTGTCGTTATTACCAGGGTTAACAAGTGTGCTATTTGCACCTAATTGAAGGTAACTACTGTTGAGAATATCTTTTTCCAAATTGTCTATTTTTATAGTTAACTTGTCTTCAATAGAAATTTTAGAATTAACTGGCACTTCTTTTGAATGATTGAAAGGCGTTGTGGGAGAAGATTTTTGGGGTTTTGAGCTTGACTGGATACCACTTTGTGTGTCACTTTCTTTAGTTTTATTATCATTTGAGATAATGGATTTGGATGACTTAATATTTTCTTGGCTTAATGTTGGGGCCATTGATTCATTATTATTTAGTGTCTTTTTCTCTGTAACTACAGCTGGCTTTTGATCCAAATCTTCATCCCTTTTTTTAGTAGTTATGTTATTGCACCAGTTTTTATGCCCAGCATTAACATTTCTGACATATTGAATCTTAGCATCCACAATATTATGTGTCTTGTTTATAAAATAATCATTTTCATTTGATACCTCAGCAAAATTGGTATTAATCTGTATTTTTTCATCATGCTTGTTTTTCCTATGTTCTAATCCTTCGGTTTTTTGTTTTTTAACCAATACGTCAATTTTTCTAATGTCATCCTGGCAGGTCTTTGTTGTATCTGTCAGGTATCTTTGGGAACATATGTTTCTTTCCGTAAAAGTTGTTAGTGTTTCATTTTTTTTAAATGCACCAGGCATTTGTGGACTATGCCAGTCCTTATGGCCAACATTGTGTACAGGAACATTGTCATGGCTGATGACGTTTGTTTGAGTTTTGTTGTTTTCAATTGATATTCCTTTATCGCCTTTTTCAGTTTCTATACTTACTTTACTCTTTAAGTCTGCAGTTTCTCCATAAGATTCTAATTTTTGGATTGACAATTGGATGTCTTCATCACAAGTTTTGCCATCCGCAATGCTAAACTGGCAGTTATCGCTAGATTCATCTCTATTAAATTCATTCAGTGATGGCTTATTTGATGATAATAAATGATCTAAAATATTGTTGAAAAAATAGTTTGGTTTAGTTCTGCCAAAAATATGTTCACTAATATAATCACTTTGTCCTCTGTCTGGTAATTTCTCATTATTACTCACGTTTTGACTATTGAAACTGAAAGTTTCTATTTGTTTTTTGTCATAATCAGTTACGCTGTTCTGATCCATTGACAAACACTCTTTTTGGGATGAATAATACATATTAATATTTTCTGAAAGATTTGTTGCATTGGTATTTAAATTAGATGTTTCTGGTTTAGGTGTATTTTCTAATTTTGCAGCTTCATGCTCAGTATCTTCTCTTTTTATTTTTTCCTTTAATGTTTTATCATTTGAACTAGAAATTTTTGACTTTTCTCTCTTTTTTTGATCAGAGGATAAATGTTTTCCATATAGCTGTTGTAAGGATGTAATTAATTTAATTTGACTTCTGCGATTATTAGAAAATTTATTAGTTGAAGAATTCGGCTGGCTGACGTTGCTTTGGATTGTTTTTTTACTTGATCTAATAGTCATTTCACTAAGAGTTTTAATTATTTCGGTTTCACACAATGCTTGTTGCTTGGAAACATTTTGTATGAAATCGCTTTTATTTTCTTTTGGTGATTCATTCTTTGTCAAAATCTTAGCGACCACCTCTTTATTGTTTGAAGACTGGTGAGAGTTGCATTCGGCTAATTTAATTCTGTGTTCCTTATTTAATTCTGCACTACTTTGTTTGATTGATTGTATTGATTGATTAAAATCTGTACTCTCTTTGCTGGTGTTCCTACTTTTTTGTTGTTTTAATTTCGCTTTTATTTTAAGTAATTTCCGCTTTCTTTTGTAGGCATTGCTCTCTTTTTTTAGTTTTTTAGATTTTTGTACTTTTGTTTTAACTACAAAAGCTGAATTAAGAATGTTTTCCATTATGTCTTCTATTGAAGAAATAGAGTTATCTTGATTAATCCTGTCAAAAACCAATCGCCTTGCATTTTGATTAAGGTATTTCAAAAAGAGGTGTGTTAAACCATCAGTGAAGTCTAAAGTATCAAAAATTTTATTATTTGGCTTATTCTCATTAATAGGTTGTACGTTTTCTTTTGGAAACATGTCATTTTGAGACATACTTGTTGAAGTATTAGTCTTTGGTGAAACGTCAAAAGCTGAACAACCACGGTTAACTTTTTTTGCTGGCAAAATAGAACATCCACTACATGTATTTGTTGCCTTGTTCCCTAATCTAAACTTCTGGCCATTTTTGTATAGTGTGCTATCTACTGATGGTCTATTTTCTTCTTTTTTATTTTTAGAACAACAAGCTGTGTACAAGGACAATTGCTTTTTTGTTATATCATCAACGTTAACACAGATATTATCCATGCCACTGCTTAATTTTTTCTCTTTTAGTTTTGCAGAATCTTCATCAGTGTTTTTTTCTTCATTTTTATTGTGTTGGGTTGTTTCTTTACAACATTGATAGTCACTTGAACACCCGGGACAGCAGAATTTAACAGTGTCGTGTGGTTTACATAGACTTGTTGCATTATTTTCTTTTAATTTGCCATCAGTAGTATTTGTTTCTAACAAAACGTCATCTTTTTTGCCATCAATAGTATTTGTTTCTAACAAAACGTCATCTTTTTTGCCATCAATAATATTTGTTTCTAACAAAACGTCATCTTTTAAACTTTTCTTAGAGTCTTTTCTAGTGTTGAGATCATTAATTAGATTAACGATGTTTTCATTGCTATTTGGATGAATAAAATTCTCATTTAGGTCTTTATGTATAAAATGTTGGCAAATGATGTTTCCAAATTTTTTATTGGCTTCATTTTTATTAATTTGATTTTTAATTGTATGTTCTGGAGTAACGACAGATGGAAGAGTTATTTCTGAAGTTGGACTTAGGTTTCTATGGACAGCATAACAATGCGGCTTGCCACTGTCATTTAGCGAACATTCAAATTGTATTTTATGCATCGATTTACTTCTAGACTTTTGATCTCCTTTATTTTCATTGACTCCTTTAGGTTTAAGATAATCTAAAATATAGTTGTTTATTCCATTGATTGTGTTTAGTAAAGGATTTTCATTTTCTCTTTGTTCAGCCGGTGGTTCAAAAACAACATTCGGTATTAACGTCTTACTAGGAACTTTATCAATTTTTTGAAAATACATTTGGGTGCCCTTCGATACCTTGGTAATAGGATCAGTACCACACATCTTAACCACATATTTTTCTTTCTCTTTGTTCATTTGTGAATTTATTCTTTGCATTTGCATACTACTCTTGTTTTTTTTTACAGGAATATTTGATTCCTTTTCTTTAATAGCAGATGTTGTGATATTTATTTTGTAAACTGAATTACTTTCTCTTAAATTCAATCCTACACTAGGATTAGAGGATTTTTTATTAGCACAGTCATTCTCATTGGTGTATGTGCATACAGTTCGTGTTATTTTAGAAATGTCAGTATTCATTCCAGTAGACACTGTTCGAGGTATCCTTTCAATATTCCCATCTATGTTGATTTTATTTATATCAGTAAGGTAGTCTACATTCGGCTTCATTTTGTCAGAATTCAAAGAATGTGACTTGTTTTCCATGTTCATTATTTCATTTAAATTTCCTTTGTTACGAATATATTTAGGTACATAGATATATCTTTTCCTAATTGTTTTTGCTGGTAGTGGAAAAGAACGATTTTTTTGTGGATTGTAGGATCTATTAGTTTGAGTTTCAACTGAATCCATTCTGTGATGTGAATACCATGTTTTCTCCTTTTTCTGTGGCTCTATGGATTTACGTATCGGGGATGTATTTTTATTTATTTGTGGCTTATTATTTTTACAACTGAACCGATGTTTTGGCTCATTGTGCACTGGGGAATTTTTAGTCAATTTTAAAGGTAATACTAACTGAGTTTGAACCCCTTTAGATAGATAGTTTACAATGTCATGTCCGTTTTCAAAACAAATTTTAGATTTTTTGTTTATTTTAGTTATAGGATCTTTTATTTCATAGGTTAAACATTTGAAATTATGATTTTTAGCTTGTGCTAACATACTGTCTGACTTACTGGGCCGAACTTTGTAATTTTTTACATGATTGTTGCTATACAAATTTTCTTCATCATGTGGATCATTTAGCTCTTCATTATCCCATTTACACACAGTAACACGGCCTTTAGAAGTTACAACTGTTTCACACGTTATGCCTTTTTTTGCATTAGTGCTATTGTCTGCTGCATTTTTTCTTGGTTCGAATTTTTTCATAACTTTTACATTGCCCAATGTCAACTTTGGTTTAGTACCAACAACATTGTAAGCACATATTGAATTAAGCTTGCTCCTGTTCAAAAAAGTATTTTTACCATTTGACGATCCACTTGGAAGTTGAAATTGTGTTGTTCTAGTTAATGCTGTTTGGTTCGGAGAGGGACAAGGAGGAGGAGGACATTTTGGGGGACATTTTGGAGGACAAACGACAGGGGGACATTTAGGTGGACATGGTGTACAAGGGACGGGACAACATGGAGGAAAATAGCAAGGTGCTGGAATGCTTGGAATACAAGGCTTAGGGACAACAAAAGGTCCTATCATTGCAGGTGTGTTTCGTGGTTTTGGTTCATAAATAAAATTTCGTTTGGATTCTGATGGTGGTGGTTCACGTACACTTTTCTTTTTCTCCTTCTTCTTCTTCTTTTCTTTTTTTTTTCCTAATGGAAAAATATCGCATGCTTCACCTTTGGTTTCACATCCATCCTCATCTTCTTCTTCCATATCGCCCACATCTTCCATATCTTCAGGATTTATATCATCTCCATTATAATCATGTTCATTCTGTGTCATTTTATGATGTGTTGGAGTAATGTCTTTTTGGTTTTCACTATGTTTGCTAGGAATGCTTTTATGACTGCTGGCCAAACTTTCTTCCTTAAGTAATGTTTCATCGTAAGGTTCGTCAGCTTCTGTTCCTTGCTCGTATGTATAGGTATCTAATAAACCATCAGTTGAATTTTTTTCATCAGAATGTGTTCCTGATTTAGGATGCTTAGAACTTTCTTTTGATGCATTGTCAGGGGAATCACCATATGTGTCTTGCAGAAAATCATCATACTTTTCGCTTTTAATTGATTTATAACTATTTTCTAGATTTTCTGCATCTGGATAATCCCAGTCAACATGTTCTTTTGCACTAGCAGTAGCACTCTTACTTTTAGTTGATTTTTCACTTTTAATTGAGTTTTTATTGTAATCATGTGAATCATATTCTTCATTATTTTGACGTTTATAGCATTCACAAAATTTACAGCAAGTACATTTGGCTTCAGAACGACAGGTCGATTCATCTTGTTGTTGTTTCTCTGGTAAATCAGTTACATTATAGGTTGCTGGTATCTCTTGGGCATTTCCTTGTGCGTATTTATTATTTGGATATGCTTGAGGTTCTCCATAACTGTATGTTTGATTTTTATTATTTGCTTGGTAAACATCTCCTGGTTCATAAACCAAATTCTTAGGATCATCTGGTTTATATAGTATCGTAACATTGTCACTTCCATCGGTAGTCCTCCTATATCCATCATCTATTGGGTAACCTTGTTGTGGATAATAAATTTGTTGGTCATATTCTGGTTGATACATGGCGTTAGGTTGATTTCTAGGTGGTGAAAAATCCATATTGACACCAGGATAAGGCTCTTGAGGTTGATAAATTACATTTTGATCATCATAAAGGATATTTTGCTCTTCATTTCTTTGATTAGTTTGGATGTTTTGAGTCCCATACGTCTCATCAGTGGCATAAACAGTTTTTTTATGTACTTGTGAAGGGGATACACTTCGTGACTTATAAGGTACTTTTTGTGCACGAGAATTCCCTCTGTAATCTTTGGTTTGATATACACGTTTAGGTGAAGTTAATATTTTCTGTGAATCAGTCGATTTGGGTTCAATACTACTTGACTGAGGACATATGTAATTACCATATGAGTCAATACAAGGATCATCTTTATTATACCTACTGTTTGAATAGGAACCCATTGCAGTCTGCACACAAATCTCATTTATTCCCATATTCAAATGATCATACGAATCCACAGTATAGACTTCGTGATTCCAACACGGGGATATCAACGTTTGTAAAAGTTCAGGGTTGTTCTCTTCTCTACTATTGCAGTCATAATTTATTTGTTGAATCAATTTTCCAATGTTTGCTTCAAATTCTTTGTTCACAAGGGAATAGAATTGAATGTTTCCACTGGAAAAACTATTATTGCAACCAGTGGTTAGCCTTAATGGTGCTTTTTGTTCGATTAATGGAAGTAGATCTCCCATAGACTTAGATTTACGACAGGAAATACATAGTCTCTTATTTTCAATTAGGGATTCCTCGTTCTTCAAAGTATTATTTAAGCAAGATTCGTACGAGAGATTGAAACGTACAGATGTCACATTTTCATTATCACTTTTTATAACATCATTGTAATAATATATCTTATTATAAAGTTGTTGAATGACACCTTTAGAAAATTTTATTCCAAAAGAGTTATTATTACGACCTCCCAATTTTCTCATTTGGGTCTCTAAACCTCCACTAGCTAGACAGAATTGCTTAATATGTTCAATATTCATATTATTATTATCTACCTTAGAAAAAAAATTGACTTCTTCTTTTCTTCCTATTGGACATGGCTTTTCTGGATTATTTTCTAATTTGTTAGGATTAGTATCTTCAAGAATATTTCTTTCTTCTTTTATAGAGATCTGTGGGTTTTGCTCTTTATTTTCTTTTTGATTATTTTCGCATACGTTCTCAGAAGATGTATTTGCCTGAATTTCCCTTGGTTTAATTACATGGGCATTTGATTTTGCAATATCACATTTGCTTTTATTACAAAATGTGTCAGTAGAGCTCAATTTTTGAAATGTTTTCAATTGATGTTTACATACAACTTTATTTTTTCTGACTATATTTCTACTCAATTTTACTCCACTTTTTGTACTTTTACTTCTTGAATTACCAAGTTCATGGTTTAAACCACCAGATTCTAGTGTGTTAGGTATTTTCTTTTTTTTGTGTAATGTATCTGAATTAAGGTTACATGTTTGCATCAACCTTTGAAGCTCTGTATAAAGTGACATGACATTGGTCCATTCTTGATTCAATTCTGTATCTGATGAATTTAAATTTGTCTGTGAATTTAAGCTAGGAATTAGCTTTTGGCCACTCTTCTTTAACTTTTTTCCAGCCATTACAACCTAAAAGGTTAATAAAAATTGATATCAATACTTGCAGAAATAACATAATAAACTTGATGAAATGCCTTAAGGAAATATATGGAGCTTTCAATTTATACTTTTGTCCACTTTATTTTGCTTTAGACATACGGAGTCTTTTCTAACAAACTTTACTTTCTCACGGAATAAATAAACATTGTTATTTAATAGAGTAATTTAACTGTACTTTTAACAATGAAAGTTATTTATTTATTTTTGTTGAACTGATTGCCTGTTGCTCATTTATGTTCAAATGTACTGTATGGCAGTAATAGCTATAGTATTGAATGATCCCATCATCAAAGAACATCACTTTTACAGTACTATATATTCTACATAAAACACTAATCAATACTACCATGATCCTTTCCTTTTTTCAAAAACCTACAACTAAAAAACAAAAACCAAATTGAAAATCATGAGTACAATATAGCTTTGGTGAAGGAAACATTTCTAGCCATGCATGAACCACAAAAGTTAAGTTAGATGTTTTATTCCATTTATTTAGATATAAAATATATTGTTGTTATATTTGATGTCATTTTCTTATTTTTAATGTTTTCTTAAATGTTGGTTAGATATACTACAAACAATACTTAAAAATAATTAAATTCACTAATTTCGTGGTCCGCTTGACCAATTAATATATTACAATTAATTAAGGTTTTTAGTTGAGATAAAAAAGAAAAATGGCAAAAAGTAGGGAAAATTCAAAAGGTGGGGTTGAGATGGGAAGTTAGTGTCCGAGTGGATCGAGGTCACAATAGCTCAAGTGGTAGAGCAGCGGTGTATCAAGCCGAAGATCGTGGGTTCGAATCCCGCTTGTGCCATTGACTTTTTTATCTCAACTAAAAACCTTAATTAATCTTAAAAATTATGTTTAAATATATTTAAATGCTTATACAATCTAATAAATGTATTTAGAAAACCTACAGGTTATTTTAAAATTAATTTAGAAGGGATCTCCAATGAATATATATTTATTACTTATATATTTTATGAAAACAAAGTTAAATATATAAATGTACAAATTTTATAATTTGAGAAAAAAACGGAAACACAGTTGATTACATTTTCCAGTGCTTGCATTCTTTATCAACTTATTGATAAAAAAACTGTTAAAAGATAAATTGACTTTGAACGTTCTTGTCTGGTCAAGCCATATGGTTTATTTATGTAATATTTACATGTACTGTAATAACAAAAAAAATTTGGATTGTAAGTTTTTTATATTAAGCATGCTATATGGTTTTTTGTGTAAACTAGTAAACAATGATTTGAATGAAAGTGTTAATCTATCTTTCTTTTATGCCAATTGAATTTTATTTATTAGCTAAGCTCTCTCTCTCTCTATCTATCTCTCTCTCTCTCTCTCTCTCTCTCTCTCTCTCTCTCTCTCTCTCTCTCTCTCTCTCTCTCTGTGTATTTCAGTCCTGAAGAGAAATTGTAATTTATTAAGGTTATTGTACAATAACATTTACTGCATTGCTGGCAAAATCTTTTAAAATATGTTACTTGTGGTACAAAAACTAAAATAATTGATCTCAAGTTGAATATTTTTTTTTATAAATGAGGATGATTCTAGTTGGAAAAAATTGTAAAAAATACTGAAGTTCAAAGATCACTATTAAAATAAAGATCGTGGTACTTACTGCATCCAGCAAAATTTACTGTTGTGTCATAGTTTTATTATAATTAAAAGTGTCTTTTGGTTTTAAAGAAGTTCTGTTACACTTTCCTAAAACTATTGTTCGATGTAATTCCTAGCTATGTAAAGTAGATTTAAATAATGCATTGTGAATCAAGGTTAAAAGTTTTATTGAAAAATTCATTGCATGGGTGGAAATAAAACTGAATTCAAATTTGTCACATGGTATTTGAACTGAATAAGGCTCAAAATTCAAAATCATTTTGGTCCACATTACCAAAATTTGGCTCTCAAATTGTCGAATTTTCTTGCTTTTAACTTAAGTTTGGAAAAAGTGCGGTGAAGTCAGCAAAGTGATGTCTTCTTTATTTCTCTCCAATCATCTTGATCTCGTTATTTTTTCTGGTTTCTCTCTTCTTTAATATTGCGGATATGTCAGTGAATTTAAGAATTCACAGTCCAAAAACTTTTCATGTCGGTGAATTTAAGAATTCACAGACCAAAAACTTTTCTCTTTTTTAATTTTAATTTTTTTAAAGTTTGGTTTGACTTTCTTGAAAAGAAGAAAATCCTAATATGTAATTTCTTTGCAAGGCCCTTAAGGCTTGTATAGATTAAAACCCCACATGACGGATCGGTCGTGCTGGTTTAACATAGCATAGCGTAGCATATATGCTTGTAAATACACTTTTACTTAAATTGGCTTACTTCTATGAAAACATCGAATTTAACAATAATAAGAATAATTACACAAAAAGACTCAATTTTTAATTTAAAAAGTAATATTAATAAATTGATTATAAATCTTGGGGCTGTAATGACCAAGCTGTAGGAGTCGGAGGCCCTTTAATTTAAAACAAAAAGAAAAAAGTATTGTTTATCTTTGGGTAGGGCATCAATATATTTTTGTAATAATTGTAACCAATAAATTCAAGATTAGAATTGTCATCCATCATCAGGCTCTACAAAACCGCAGCAAATGCAAACTTGCACGGGAACGCGTGAATTGGATATTGAAAGATTGGGGAGAGTTCTCTTTACAGTGAGGTGAGAGAGAATTGGCCTAAGATATTCAGATGGGCATAATTTCATATGGAAACGCTTAGGAGAAAGGTCCACCCCATGGTGTATGGTTCCTTGTGGCTCAATGATGAGTCATTGACGTTCTGGGACAAGACAAATTTGTTGACTTTGCCTAGCTTATATTATTTGAAAAGTTTCAACACTTTTACTTATAAAGAAGTAATAGTAATATTTAGACACTTATTTCAGTGGCTTTGCAAAACGCTAGCCTGGTAATAACTGGAAAAGGGTTTGAACAATAACTGTATTTACTAATTGGAGATTTATTTAACTACAACATTCTGTATTGCATGTACGACTGAGCTACAACTTCATAATCAACATGCTATTTACAAAATATATTTCAAAACATGATTAACAATTTTATGGAGGTAAAATACTTTTAGCTTTGCCATTGACTATTGCAGTTCACTACTGTGTATTACGTAACTAGATAATAAATTTTATTTATTAACATAATTTGTCTTTGGCTAGTAACAATACTGATTCGATTCACATTGGAAATATTTAAAACATTTTTCTTAAAAATATGTATCTTAGCCATTATAATTAATAGGGAAGATTAAGAGGTTTTCATTATGTACACTTGTTTAAATTTAATTCTTAATGCTGTTAAACTAAAATCTATGTGTGGTTATGGTGATATGAATTATCAATTTGAGCACAAAACATTTTGTATTTAATTTCTTTTATACATCATAAAATATAAAATGTAAATCCTAATCAGAAAAATCTTTTTTTTTCTAATTTTGTAACTTAGTTATTTGTAATATAAAACGACTTTTCCAGTAAACTTACATTTAAACTGTTTTAAAGGACGATTCATTGTTTCATTCATGTCAGAATTGGCATCTAAAAAATAAAAAAATAAAATAGATTTAAAATTTATATAACTTTCATTTATATAATGCTCTAATCTTTGTGCCTTCTTAAACATATAAAAATATTTAAAATAGATATTCCCTATTTATATTTAACAATATATCCCAAATTAATAGCAGTTAAAAATTTCAGTTGAAATAAAATATTATAATAAAAAAGTATAATGGAAAATAAATTAGCAACACCATTTTGAACAATTCACAAAATTGAGCATATACGTCACTTGAAAACATTTTCTCGAATATAATTTCAAATACTAAAGTTGGAAGACGTCAAGCAAAAATAAACAAATTGAACGCTAATAAAGGACAAGGCCAAAATTAGTAGGCCACACATTTCCAACTTAACGCAGTTTAACAAAAGCTATATCAAAATTGTTTCAGAAAAATGGAATACTTAATATTTCTTAAATAATATTAACAAACAAGATCACAATGTGCTCATCAATACATGAAACCCCTTTCTATTCAGAAAAACAATGGAGTTTTTAATATATAAAATAAAAATTTTGTTTCTATATTTAACAAAATACTATATAAATAAATTGTGCTATAACTCTAATATGTATAAACAGTGGTCCTACAATACTGTAGAATATTTTAAATTATTGTTAAACACAATCCACAACTATCAGAAACAGGATTTGACTTAAGAATTTATATCTTGCAATACAAATATAAAAACGACCCGTTATCATCTATTTATTTACAAAAAGGAACTATACTATGTGCATATTACTAGAAGACATTTTTAAAGTCCTGTGTTAGTACTTAAAAGTAATAATAATATTTAACACATATCACTGAATTCAATCACATCTATTTAAAAAAAATGTAATTTAGTTTCATAGAGTTAAATACAGTTTCATATTATCTACTTAGATTATTTTTATAGTATTTTTACCATTGTAGCATGTTAAACATTTGATTAATAGTTACTATACATGAAATTGAAGTAAAATGGTGATATTGATCTAACCCTAATGTCAAAAACTACATTAGTCTTAAACTATTGCCTAATAAGAATTACTAAGTGAATGTCAAAAATATTGCCATAATTAGATTTTCTTTTTAATCGGTTCAACAAAAATTTAAATGATTATCATTACTCCAGACTATGAAACATTGTTACAAAGTACGAGGAATCAGCCTGTTGGATTATTTCTTGCGCCATCTAAAAATTTAACGGCTTAAATCAAATGTACTGTTAAGTTCACTTATTAGTCAAAAAGTGAACTCGGAAATTTTTATCTCACAATAAATTACTAATTTCACACTAAAACTATTTCATAATTATTCTACTAAGTATACGATTAAAATATAAATATTGATTATCTTATAATTGAACTGTTGAATTTATGATAATTGGTTTTATATATTTTATTTACTGCTTGAAACATCAAAAGAAAAAAAAAAGTGTACATGGGCGAAAACAAAAAAAATTATTGTTTCACGATTCACACATTTGCATAGTTGGTACATCACTTCTTTTTCAAATATTTCTCTTTTAGATCTTCATTCATTTTTTCCTCTAGTGACTGTTTGGCTTTTACAACATTCCCTCCTGAAAGTCATTTTTGTATAATTGGTTGTTCAAATATGCATGCTGTTTTTATTATTTATTTAGATATAGTTACCAATTCCATGCTTTGGAGATGTTTCTAATGGCTTAAAGGGGCCTTTCTCAATTCTGAAATTTATAGAAGTTTGTAAATGTAAAGTTTTGGGTTTGCATTATTGTTCGATTCAAATTGTGTAAATATTAATAAACTTTTTTTATTTTACCAATAAAAGTTTTATTTAAATCATAAAGCTTAAAGTAAATGGTTGTTGATTTAACTAGACTTTTTTTTTAATAGTACTTAACAATTTTGGTATCTAAAATATTTATCATTGTCAGAGAAATGTATTTACAATTAATTAAGGTTTTTAGTTGAGATAAAAAAGTCAATGGCACGAGCGGGATTCGAACCCACGATCTTCGGCTTGATACGCCGCTGCTCTACCACTTGAGCTATCGTGACCTCGATCCACTTGGACACCAACTTCCTATCTCAACCCTACCTTTTGAATCTTCCCTCCTTTTTGCCATTTTTCAAATGTCGTGTAATCGGATTGGATTCTCATTTGTCGCCAAGAATCCAATCTGATTACACGACATTTGAAAAATGGCAAAAAGGAGGGAAAATTCAAAAGGTGGGGTTGAGATGGGAAGTTGGTGTCCGAGTGGATCGAGGTCACGATAACTCAAGTGGTAGAGCAGCGGCGTATCTAGCCGAAGATCGTGGGTTCAAATCCCGCTCGTGCCATTGACTTTTTCAACTAAAAACCTTAATTAATTGTAATATATTAATTGGTCAAGCGGACCACGAAATTAGTGAAGTTGTATTTACAATTTGACTTTGCCCTTATGGGCATTTTTAATATACTAATTATTAAACTTCGATAGATGTTCAACTAACAAACAGTTTGAGTACTGTATTTATTATGATTATTTCAGTTATCTTATGTAGATATTCACCTCTCATCAAGTGAACAAGTCTTCTCGAACATATTTCTTTTCCTGTGCACGTACTTATTTTTACTGTCTTCCTTAATTTTTTCATTATTTTCTTTCAGATCGACTTGATTTCCTATGTTAAAATTAAAGCAGATAAATATTTAGTTTATATCATGATTATAGATCATATTCTAGAACAAACCTGCCAAAACTGCTTGAATATTATTCAGTTCCGTCTGCAAGACTTCGCCAATATGTTCTAATTTTTTCCTCAATGACACTTCACTGGTGCTCCTTGCTTTTTCTTGACGCGATTGCTCTTGGATCTAAAAATGAAATTCTGTTTAAAAAAAAATCAAATTAAATAAATTGTTGCTTAGCTCATACCTGATGCTGAATAAGATTGTTGATTTCATTTAGCTTATCGTTTAGTTGGGTTTTAGTCTCTATTATTGCCTCGTGTTTCAATTTCTTCATCGCCTCATCCTGACTGAGTTTTGTGCATTCGTGTTCAAACTTGGAAACATAACTTTTTTCAAGCCTTGTATGAAATTCATCCAAATCTCCTTCCATCTCTATCCGTTGCTGAAATCGCATTGCATCGAAATTTATTGAAATTTGTTTTAAAAAGTTAAAAATTTAAAGGTGTTCCAAGCAAAAGTACCTTCAGGTCACGTGAAAGCATATCAATTTGATTTCCCAGTGATTTTATTTTATTCAACTCTAAGTCAATGGCTTGAACCATTTTTTCATTCTAGAAAAAGAAACAACTCAATGGTTTTAAAATTTTTTTTTTAAACTCAGCGATGGCAAAATTATATAATCTCACCTCAGATTTACTGAGAGATTTATTGCTTGCTATTTGGTTCCGAACTTCAACAAACATTGTTTGGTTGATTTGTGTCTTCAACATTGTTAGCTCTTTATACACATACTCAAGTGTAGTCTTTGTCACCCTAAGTGCTGAATCACTAATTTTCTGTGATTCATTCTTAGCAGGTAGAGACATTGTCTTTGGTGATGAAGTGCTAGTTGCAGCATCCTAGAATTTAAACGATAAAACTTAATTCTAAAACTCAAATTTAATTCATATGAAATTTTAAATAAGTTATGTACTGTTATATTAAATTGTATTTTAGCTTGTCTTCAATCATCCTAGCCCTCCTATTCATACTGGATTTATTATCATTGTAAGACAGAGATATTTTAATATCTAACAATCTTCAGTTGTTTTTTTTTTTTTTTTTTTTTTTACTGGAGGAGTTCCTCATGAGCACTGCAGCTGTACAGCTTATTGTACTTTAGCCCTGGCTCCATTTTTTGGGGGCTCGCTACACAAGTCTAAATTTGAGCCCATGGTGTGCTGGTGTTCTTCCATAGAAGAAACTCATTTTTGAAGGGGGTTGGGACCAAATTCAGGGTCGCTGAGATCTGATCCTGCCCCTTCCATTGATGAGTGCCATGTCAATTTCGTTCAATTGCAGCCACCGGTCCCCTTAGGGATCAGAAAAAGCCCAGAGGCGACGGTGGGGATTGAATCCACGACCGCAGGATCTACTAGCCAAGAGTCTGACGTCTTAACCACTCAGCTACCGCGTTCCCCTCTTCAGTAGTTGGTCTGTTTTATCCTCAAAGATAGTAAAATGCACATATCTGATGGGTAAAATCGGTGAGATTAGGTAGACCAAGATGATTGTGACTGTTCAAGCTGCAGGTCACTTTGCAGACCATACTATACAATATTTTTATATGTTAAACACTTAATACTGCAATTGGATCAGTTAAATGATGAATTATGACCTATAACAAGGTAACACTCTTACCATCTGTGATATAGTTGGTTTCGTGCCCAAAAACTATTTCACAATAAATATTGCGATTTGTGTCAAATTGGTAATAACAGGCAATGGTCAGAACAATGGAAAATATAAATAAGACAAATTGTGGAAAAATTTGGCCAATTGTTATTCCAATTTCCTAACAAGAGAGTCAAAAGAAGAAATTATATATGAATAATGAATAAATAATTTCTTTTATAAAATTGTCTTAGGTCTTTTTTTATCAGTCACATTCATTATATACAAATTAATTTTTAAACACGAAATTTTAGATAAAAAAGCCATTGACACAAATCGGATTCGAACCCACTGTCTTCAGAACTGTACCCAATGCTCTAAATACCTTAGCGAGCAACATCGACCTTTCTATCTCAGCACATAGTATTTTGTGCATGTCCTTTTTTTGTCTTAGTACAAGGACTATAATGATAAATGATGAATTTATAAATAATGTATTAACTTACATAGTCACCGCACATTTTTTGTTTTGTAATTTTTTTAGTGTCCGCAGTCACTAAATGCTTATACAGCTGCTTTGATTTTTCTTTGATATATTGGTTTTTGGACCTCGAATAGAATTTATTGATTAGTTTTACATTTTCTTTTTTAAATGCGAGTTTCATAAGAGTAATAAGATCTTCAATAGTGGTAGACAGTTGTCGTAATAACTTCAAATAAGAATCTACTGAAGTTTTTGACAAATTTTTCTTGTTGTTATCAAGAGTTAAAAATTGATTTATTTTATAGAGCTCGAAAGGCATTAGTTTTGGAGGTGTTTGCTGAGATAGTCCACGACTGCAATCACCTTTTGGAGTAGATCGGTCTGTAGATTTTGCCCTGGCAGGCGATGGTGACAAGAGCTTTCTGTCTTCATGTTTTGTCAGCTTTGAATGAGGTTTTACAGTTCCTTTTTGTGCTACCTCAACCTTATGTTTTCCTTTAACTCTAGTCTCATGAACAATGCTTGTACCGGGCTCTTTGTGCTTCGCATTAGTAACTATGAGAACTTTATAGGAATCACACTTAATCGGTAAGCTGTTGCAATCTTTTCTAGAATCTATAGGCATGGTAAACCCTTTTCTAGCCTTTTCGTGAACTTTTTCTTTTTGTTGTGCATTTAATTTAGATACGATTTGTTTTTGACCATCACTTTTCAATTTATTTGTTTTCCGTTTGATTATTTTCCCTTCCTTTGTTCGCTCTTTCAGTGCTGACTTATCAACCCGTTTTCTCGAAGTAGATCCTGTGCCTTTAGAGTTTTTCATAATTTCTTCAATACTTGGTGTCATTTGCCACTTGGCTATGCTATTGTGATACATATCTAATTCTGTTAAAATATTTTTCGAGTTAATTCTACGAATTTCAATCAGTGGTTGTGAATTTACAGAATTTATTTTGTCAGTGTTTTTTCTTTCTTCTTCACTGTCCTGTTTTTCATGCTCAAAAGGTAATTGTGAAACTAATGGAAAAGTAAAATTGCTTGTTTGTAGCGAGCTCTCGGTTTTCTTAACCCCTTGGCTAGTCATCGGATCACTGTTTATAATTTCATCTTTTCTACATGATTTATAAGTATTTGATAATTTTTTTCTTTCGGTTCTTGATTTAAACTCTGAAGGAGTCATTATAACAGGTTGGTGATCAGTTTCCTTGCTTTTGGTATCTTCAGTTATGACTTTATCACAATTTTTGGCTTTGGTTGTATTTAAATCATCATTACTACTGCTTGTTAAAGGCTTTTTAACTTTATTATTAGCAAAGTTTTTATTTTGACTCTGTTTCCAAAATTGAATAGAATCTAATGATTCTGGGACATCATTTTCAATAGTCTTACCACTTGGTAAGGGATTTTCATGATCATCCGATTTGCATGTAAGTGGTTTATTTTCCCTATCTTGGCTCATTGTTCTTTGTACTCGTTTTTTCATTTCACTAATTTCTCGTTGGAATTCTTGAAAACTTAAAAAGTTTGTGCGATTTGAGTTATCACTTACATTAGCTTGGCTTGTTTCAACTTTCTGGCTAACATTTTGATTTTTGTTATCTGCAGTTTGTAAATCATGTTTGCTATCACGGCAGTTAGTTTGATCAATTTGTTTGGCTACCTCAGTTTCATTTTTTTGTGTATTAGGACTAAGAAAACCAACTTTGGAACTTTGATCAGTCTTGTTTATTTCATTTTCGGTATATTTTCTACTCTGCGTATGTTCACAAGTTTGATTTTCAATAGTTTTGTTTTGGTCTTCCACTTTGCATTCCTGGTTGTGCATATTTGTTTCATTATTGGTTTGTTTTTGCATGTTTTCTTCATTTTGTTCATTATCGCTTATTAGGTTTTTATTGCTATTTTGTTCATGCATATTCAACTGACTGGAACCTACTACACTCTGATTTATCATATCTTGTGAAGTTTTAATATTTTCATCTTTGCTTCCTTGGTTTTGGATACATTCTTCTTTTAGTTCATTCTGACTTACCAGGTTTTGCGAATGTTTGCTACTAAGGTTTTTTATTTGTTCGATTATGTTTTTCTGATTTTGCCAGATATTATTTTCTTCATTCAGTAACGGTTTTTGGATGTTTTCCCTACTCTGTTCACCACTGATAAGAATTTGGGAATAATTGATTGTTTCATTTTGACTTGTACGATATTCAACATTTTCACTGTTTTGCTCATCATTGTTTTTATTTTCAACATGTTTGTCACTTTGGTCAGCTTCATTTAAAGCTTTATCGCTTTGCTCTTGTACAATTTCTGCTAATATGTTAACACTAAAAGAATCCTTTGCAAGATGGTAATTTGAATCATCAACCTCCCTAATTTCTACAATTTTAATGTTTTCAGAACTAGGCTTTTCTCTATTTATTTTTGTTGATGACCCCATATCTTTAATTGAATTAACAGAGGTGTTAGAAGTTTCTTTTTTATCCGTCTTTTGAGACGTTTCCATGAAAGATGAAGTCTCTTCTTGAGTTTCTAAATGCGGTAAAGTTAACAGGGTTAATTTCTGTTCAGGGATAATTGGAGTCACACTGTCCTTTGACTCATTTAAAAGAATTGTATCAAAACTGGTTTTATATGTACTTTTTATGCAGTCTGACTGTCTTCCTTGAAATTTTTCATTAAAATCGTATGTTACTTTAGCATTTTCTTCGCAGTTTTTAAGAGCACTGTTTATTTTCTCGATGTAGTCTTCTCTTCTTTGACGCAGGAAGGCAAGTTGATTTTCAATTGATGAAGATTGACGACTCTGCTGTTTTTCATTACTTTCTTTTATTTCCAGTCTTTCTCTTTCATCTCGCATTAATTTTGATTCCTCTTTATTGAATTTTAAACTTGATTCATTAATGTTGCAGGTTGTTTTACTTCTTTGTCTTGTAATAAGCTTTGCTTTTGCTGGGCTCTCGGATCTCGTTGCTAAATTAGTTTTTTCTATTTGTTGATTCAGTTCCTCTTCTATAGTTTTAGATTCCACGTTGCAAAGCACTTCCGAAAGTTTTTTGCTGGTTAATTTCTCTTTTGAATCGAACCCTCTCAGATTATTTATCCAAGAAAATGACTTAGTTAAGGGCATTTTTTCGCTTAATTCAAAATCTTGTGCTGTTAGAGGGGGCCTTATTCTTTGCCTGGATGTTGAAATATTTGATTGGTCAAGCATTTCCAATTCTTCTATAAGTATAGGTTTCATTTTTTGATCAACATCGTAATTTTCAATTGTTGTTATTTGGTGTACTGCAATTTCGCCAACTTGTGTTTGCACTTCTGCAGTTTTCAACATATAAGTGTTACCCTTGATATCTGATTTGTTGCATTTAATTATTTTATTATCTGAAGTGACTTTCTTGGCATTGATTGAATCTTCAAAAAAGTTAAAACTCTCGTCATGGTTAAGATTATCAGTTTGAATTATTCCAACTTTGTCCTCTGTTGAAGATTCAACTATGTTTTCACGCTTACTCAAAGGATTTGCTTCTAACTTTGTTTTATTATTGGGAATGTCACTTTCATGCATTTCATAGTTCTGAATACAAGTACAAACTGTTTGTATTTTAGTGGTGTTCAATGAAACAGAATGTGTTTGCAAGGTCTTATCCCTTTTTCTCTGTATTTTATTTTCACTCACTTTATGTTTTTTCTCGATGATAAAGTGCGGTAGTTTATTTTCTATTTGTTCAATACACATTTTTAACTTTTTTATAGAATCAGTTCTTTTAAGTTGATCGGTATCTTCATAAGGATTAGTATTTTTATTTTCATAATTTTGAATACAATTTTCCTTCAATAGCTTTTTTGTATGAATGTTAGGTTTTAGAAAACTATTGTATTTACCTCTCTTGTTCATTGCCAGAAGAGTAAAGTCATTTTCTTTGGAAGTTTGACTGTATCTATTTCCACCCTTTTGCTTGCTACAAGCCTCAGTTTGATCTGATCTATCAGTTTTACCCTTTCCAATCTTCCTTAGAATTTCTTTAGCATCTTTGGAAAATAATTTTTTCTTCAATTCTGCTGTACTATGGTCAGAATTGAAATCATTTGAGTACAGTTTTTTAATAGATTTCAGTAGTTTGACATGACAATTTGAAATCCAAAATCTGCTATTTCCTTTTAAATCATGTTTATTTAAAACTTTACCATTTCTTTTAGACATAATTTTCAGCATGTTAGCTACTTCTGCTTCACAGATTGTTTGCTGTTTAGAAATATAATCCCTGAAGGATAGGGAGTTATAATCTTTTAGATGAGGATTGCAATAATTTTTAGATTTTTGTTTTGTACTATCCTGCTTTTGATTTACAGTCTTTCCATTGTTACCACAAATTTTACCACTTTTGTTTGCTTGTAATGTTTTTTCTTTGTAATTATTTAGGGAAGATTTGTTGAAATGTTGCGTCATTGATGATTTATTTAGTTTTGCATCATTTTGTGGCTTGTACATGGATAATTCGGCAGGCAGTTCTTTGATCGGCTTTCTATACGAGAACTGAGATTTAGAGCTATGGAATTTATTAAATGTATTCTCTATTGACGTCGACTTCTGCTTTGACAGGTTTTTACCAATTGTATTCACCTTTCTAGAGTTGTTACTCTCACTCCTTTGAAAACCATATTTTTTTGTAATACTATCCGTTTCACCTAATTTGATATGACCTGGTGTTACAGAATGCTTTCTTTCTCGAGCATGATCAGATGGGAATTTTTTGGTGGAATCACCCTTGCAGACATTTCGACTTGAATATTCTGCAATTATTTTCTTAAGTTTGTTGTAGTTTATTAATTTGGCATTAGGTTTGGGAGTTATGCTATCGTGTGAACTGGGCTTCACATTCTTCTTTTCAATTCTACCATGTTTCGACTCATTTTCAGATTGTAAACCAGAGGCAGATTTTAAATTTTGGTGTGATGTAACTTTGATAATGTCTGAGCTGTGTTTTGAACTAACAGACATGGATGTTGCACTTTTGCTTTGTTTAACATTCTTTTTCAATGAGAAAGAAGTACTACTTACTAAATCTGCAGCATATCCTTCTTTTGTGTCTTTCATAACCACAAAATTCACAGTTGCTTTGGAATCAGTATTATGTACAATATCTGATGTTTCTGACGGCAATGAATTTGACTGTGATTTATTTTGTTTATTGGAATCAATATCAGGGTTTAGTGAAGTTCCATTATTGTTTAATGACTGATTATCTGTTGTGTCATGCAAATTGACATTTTTTTTATCCTCACAATCTTCAGGAAATAACTTATTCATTAAAGTTTCTCTAGCATCTTGGACTACTTTCTGATTTATTTGGTCAAGATTTATTAAATTGTTGGATAATAACATTGGCAAAATATTTTGGTTTATGTATGTGGAAACATAGTTCTTAAAGCTATGTGGTATATTAAACTTATTTTCAGTATTTACACAATCTGACGGTAGTTCTTGATTGGTAAAATGTGGTAAATTGCCACCATTCGAATTTCCAATGTTTATAGGACAACAGACTGAGTTTGTCATGAACCGATTGATATTTTCCAAATTACAATCATTATTGATATCATTTACATTATTGTCGGTACAAAGCAATTCAATTGTATTTAAAGAAGTACATTTGGATTTACGCCTGCGTTTCTGTTTGTGTTTATGTTTACGTTTGTGTTTACATTTACTTGCTATTGAATCTTTCAGTCTGTACATAGTACTTTTTCTCATACGTTGATTTAATAATGATTCTTTGGGTCGACATCTTTTCGACAAATTCTTGATTAGAAAAACATTTGAATTAGATAAATATTTAGGTTTTCCATAGGAAGTATACCTTTCTAAAAGATCATCTTCCATGCTAGTAGAAGTGTTAACATATGTACAAGCTCTTCCTACTTTTTCTGAATTTTCTTTATTAGTGCAAACTTTATTAAGTTCATTGCAGCCAAAAGTTTTATCTGTATTAGTCTCTTGGTGTTTAATAGATACATTTGACACTATAGGATTGTTATTAGATTTGACTTCACTATTAATTTTGCTTGTGTGATGCTCTTGACTTTTTAAATGGTCTTTTTTAATACGTTTATCGTAAATTGTCAATGAATTTGTTAATTTTGGGCTTTTTATGTTAAACTTAAGCATAGTATTTTCACATTTGTCAACTTTCTCCACTGCAGGGGGTTTACTAAGTTTTGTGTATTGATATACCGTACTGGTTTCTGTACTAATTGTTTTAACTTCTTTTGTTTTTTTACACGGTACTGTTTCCATTTGATTTGCTGGGTTATCTGGTTTGCCTGTGTCTGCTTCATACTGTGTAAATGTAGTAATTAACAGTTTGTCATTTGATGAAATTTCAAAATTTACAGTTGGACTTTCTACAACTGGGTTTACAACCATTCCTTTATTTTTTTCATTTTGTTCAAGAATAGGTCTATTTTCCGTTTGGCACATAAAGTGAGATTTTAATTTCAATGTGGATCGTTTACTATTACCATAAAGACATAAATCCTCTTCAATTTTTGGTGGTGAATTTATTGGATTTGAGTCACTTTTTCTATCCGACAGAATCTCTGTTTGACAAAGCGTACCTGCAGTTTTGTTCTGTTTGAGAGGATATGAAGCATCCAAGCTGCTCAACTTAAAAAGTACCTGACTTTTTTCAGCAATGACAGAATTACATTGGGATTGTTTATCACATACAGACGCATGTGTGGTATCGTAAGGCTGAACAGGCATATCTGTTAACTCAGAATCACTCAATTCAGTGGTACTGGTTGAAGAGAGTTTATAAATGGATCTTTTATCTTTAGCCATTTTGTTTGGAAAAGATAAGAAATTAATTTTGCATGTGCTTTCTTCTAAGTTTTTTGAAGTTAAAAACTTTTGTTGGGCAAAATTAACCATCTTTTGTACTCGGAAGAAGTTATTTTGTTTTCTAATCTGTAACTGGTTTTGTTCAGTGGAAACATTACATATGGTAGGGTTATTTTCTGTTGTTTCACTGTGTGGTTTACTCGCTACCTTACCTAACTGAGATTCAGTTGCAATTGATGAACTGTTGTCTCTCTTTTTTAAATTACAATATTTATCACAGCCGTATCTTTTACAGTCGCATAATGCTTCTGTTGGTCGTTCTAACTCAGAAGTATTTATTCCACAGCTTTTATTATTCGTCGTTCTTATTACTGAATCGTTATCAATATTTTCTATTCTTTGTCGACTAGATTGCTTTCTTGGCATATAATTTTCGCTTTCTCCATTCCAGTCCTCTGCAATTGATTTTATATCTTGAAACAACGTAACATCTGAAGGTACAGTAACTCGTTGTTCTGAAGTATTATCAAAAGCTTCTCTAACAGAAGAATCGCAAGAGTTTTTCTTCGATTCATGCAGGTACGGTGGGTCACAATTGTTTTCATTAGCTGAGTATTGATTATTTTCAGATTTATTTAATGGCAATCTTCTCAACTTTATTTCAGGGGGAGAAAAGCTTCTCTCTTTTTGAACTACGCTTTCACGTCTCATCTCTTGTAAAGTAAATTTGTTGCCTTCATATGGTATGATTTCACAATCAGTTTCTAGATATCTGTACTTTCCTTGAAAACTCCTATCAACCGTTGACGTCCCCTGTTGAACATTTTCATAAATAACAGATTGACTCGTTCTTTCTGTTATCATCTGTTCATCACTTGGTTGAAAAGTTTTCTTCGATTCATGTGGGTACGGTGGGTCACAATTCTCATTTGCTGAGTATTGCTTTTCAGATTTATTTGATGACAATTTTCTCCTCTTTATTTCAGGGGGAGAAAAGCTTCTCTCTTTTTGAACTACGCTTTCACGTTTCATTTCTTGTGAAGTAAATCTGTACTTTCCTTGAAAACTTCTTTCAGCCGTCGATGGCCCCTGTTGAACATCTTCATAAATTACAGATTGACTCGTTCTTTCTCTTATCATCTGTTCATCTTCCTTACAATTATTATCTTGACTCACTTTAGCTGTCTTTACCTGTTCGTCTTCACAAAAATCAGCCTGAGGCAATCTTCCTGCAATGACCTGTTGATCGTATTTATCACACTCATCAACTTGGGTCACTCTTCCTGCCATCATCTTTTGATTGTCTACTTCACACATACCATTTGGATTTATTCTTGCAAACACTTGTTGGTCATCTTCACAAATATATTGATCGTCATTTATCGAATGGATTTTTGCAGACGGTGAAGTTCTGGATTTTACACTAGAATAGCGTCTGTTTAAAACGGGCATAGTTTCTATTTCATTGCTTTGCTTTTGACTATTTCTTCTGGGTGAACAACTCTCATTATAATTTTGTGGGTATTCAATACATTTTTGTTGATTAATGTTAACCAATTGATGTTTTTGAAATGGTGCTGAACGATGATGATATTTAGGTGTAACCAATTTAAAATTTGGTTTATTTGCTAAAGTTTGATGAGAATAAATGGTGGTGCCATAAGGAGTCATTCGTGGTTTTTTTTCTGGATTGACTCTGAATGTTGAAACATATCCTCTTTGCATATTATGCCGAGTCACAGTTGTTGAAGTATTGTTTTCCATACTTACACTAGTAGGATATACTGTGGCAATGAATTTTACTTCACTTGGCATATTTTTTACTTTGTAAATAGGTCTAAGACTATTTTTTTGACTTTTTACACACCCGACAACAGTTTTTTTCCCTTCTATAGATTTGACATTTGAAAATTCACAGTATTTAACAGGTATTCTTCTTTGAGGAATTGGAGGAAGTTTTTGTGTTTGTCCTGATAACTGGGTATCATCTTTATAATAAGGATTAACATTGGTACAATTAGTTTTTGTTAAAGCACTATAACAAACTCTGTCAGTGAAAGGGACACAAAACTGTATATTGTATTGTTCTTTTTCATCATTATATGAAGGATTCACAATGATATTCTTATTAGGTTTCAAATACTCGTTTTCAGTTTCAAAATATTTTTTTATCGGTTTCTTCTGACCAAACATAGCCTTTTCACAATTTGGAGACAATATTGTTTCTATATAATCATCACTTTCTGGAAAATAGTTAACTGGAGGTTTTAAATTATCCTCTTGTTCACTAGTACTTTTTTCTTTTTTTGCTTGGGCACAAATATCTGGATCTGCTATTTTACTTTCTTTCAACTCTGCATCATTAGAAACAACGCTTTTAGATTCTTGGCTCACTTCATCTTTAACATCCTCTTCAGTCAAATTGCTTATAGAATTTAATAATTGCGGCTTATCATTATTATTACATCGGGATGTATTAATAACGGATTGTTCTTCTGTTGTTGTCGTTTGGGAGCAATTTTGTGATGCAATATTTTTTTCGTCACTTTGCACAGTAAAATCACTGCCATCTTCAATTGTAGAACCCTCTGATGATTGTAGTTTGTCAGTATTGTGAAGAATTTCTGCTTTAATATTTGGTTTCACTTGCTGCGCTTTTATTGGCACGCTGTCTGAAGAATTTTCCGAATCAGGTTTTGATTCATCATAACTTTTAATTTTATTATTTTTACAGTTCAGTTTCACGTTTATAACATCATTTTTAGGTTTTTTAATATTTTTAAGAATTTCTTCTTTTTCCTTTGAGACGATAGAAATTCCCTCATCCGATTCTGCAAGGGATGATAATCTCCAATTTTTCCTTGAAGAAAATCGATTTGAGATGCCATTGTATCTGGCTGATGTAAAATGACTTCCTTCGCTGTCATAAGAAGCTTGACCATCAGTTGAATTTTCACATGCATTTGTTTCAATTAAATAACAGCTGTTGTTGCATTCAAATTTTTCACTCGGTTCATTTACATTGTCTTTATCTCGGTTTTCCACATTGTTATTTTCATTATTGGCTGACGGGTCTGAATCTGAGGATGTTATAGCTCTGCCAGAAGACAATTTGCCACAGTTTTTTCTACATTGTAATGATCCTAAAAGATGGTCGCTGTAAGGTTCAATTCCTATATATGTAGAAGTCTCACTGCTTTTATTGCATATTCCTATATCGCTGATCTCTTTCCCCAGATCTTCAAGCTCTAATGTAATAATAGAAGCACTCCTTTTGACTTTGTCGATGATTGCCCAAGAGTGTTGTGCTTCTCTGTTGCAGTTGTCAAGCAAACTTTTAAGTTCGTGGAAAAGTTCAACTACATTGTTCCATTCACTATTCACACTGGGTATGGAATAATTTGTTTCATAACGTGAGGGGCCACCAGTCTCTTCATCGGACATGCCGAACCTAAAAAAAATTCCTTTAACACAGAAGATATCAAGAGGCCGTATGGAAAATGCATTGTTTTCTGCACGAAACACTCAGTTTCAGAATAAATAAAACAAGTTACTCACATTAACAGGATTATCTTCAAGCTATGTTTTTTTCTTAGACGTAATAAATATTAACAATTTGGTAGCATATACTACATCAAAATTTAAAATCATTGTGTATTTACAGTGTAAAAAATGTACTATTTTTAATTTTAAAACAAAAAAAGAGAAAAATAAAATTTACATTTTACGAATAGAACACATGATAAATTATGGATATCAAAATTTCTTCATATCATACGGTGTGAACTAGAAAAGAAACCTTGATGTTTTAGTTTCACATTTTGTTTTTTTAAAACAGTGATTAACTTCACTAATTCCGCTTGACCAATTAATACATTACAATTAATTAAGGTTTTTAGTTGAGATGAAAAAATAACAAAAAGGAGGGAAAACTCATAAGGTGGGGTTGAGATAGGAAGTTGATATCCGAGTGGATCGAGGTACAATAGCTCAAGTGGTAGAGCAGCGGCGTATCTAGCCGAAGATCGTGGGTTCGAATCCCGCTCGTGCCATTAACTTTTTTTCATCTCAACTAAAAACCTTAATTAATTGTAGAGTGATTAACTATGAACCTAATTCATACATCTAACACACCCTACAATGAGAAGAAAGGCCAATTGGAAAGAACTTGGGTTTCAAAAGTAATTAAAATTTGCAAGCAATTTTATACAATATTATCTGATTTGCAGCACTAATATATATTTATATATTTTAAATAAAATTAGGAAAATCAGAATACATTTTACTTACAAAGAGCCTTGGGTTAATCAGTGATTTTTCCTGTTGAAGAATTGTGATTGTCCTCTTTAAAGTTGCAATTGTGTCTTGAGCCTCTATTAACCTTGGGTCCTTGTGGTTTTCCACCATTTCCAGTTTTGCAGCCAGTTCTTCATATCTATATAAAAGATTAAATTGTACAATTCATACCCGTAAAAAGATTTTTTTCTAGTACAATTGAAAATTAACAGAACAGGAAAATAATAGTTTTATTATAAAAACAAAATGTAATGTAATGGGCCTTAATATCACCCATTACATTCAGTCATTATGACTTATATTGTAAGTGAATTTATTTAAATATATATTTATTATAATATAAGAAGATTTGTTTTAACACTCGCCCCACTGTCAAGGTTCTTTTAAGACCCTGAGCATTTTTTTTTTTCATGTGTTGTCTAATTATTATTTTTTAATATACTGTCTGGTCGACTCCTCTACTAGGCCTTTTCTGTAATTTTATTTGAAAATGTTGAACAAAAATGTAATTATTCATAATATCTTTCAATTAATTAAGGTTTTTAGTTGAGATAAAAAAGTCAGTGTCACGAGCGGGATTCGAACCCACGATCTTCGGCTTGATACGCCGCTGCTCTACCACTTGAACTATCGTGACCTCGATCCCCTTGGACATTAATTTCCCATCTCAACCCTACCTTTTGAATTTTCCCTGGGTCACGATAGATGGGATCGAGGTCACGATAGCTCAAGTGGTAGAGCAGCGGCGTATCAAGACGAAGATCGTGGGTTCGAATCCTGCTGGTGACACTGACTTTTTTTATCTCAACTAAAAACCTTAAATAATTGAAAGCTATTAATTGGTCAAGCGGACCACAAAAACTAGTGAATTATTCATAATGCTAAGACATCCATGGTGAGATAGATAATACTTTTCTAATGACGAATATTAGGTTGAAAGAAACCAGTATTCTGTGGTAGTTGAATTAAAAATGTAATTTTTATTACTCATAAATATCGCAGCCCTCATCATAATTTTTGTAAGTACAATTTTTTTTTGGTATTGTTCAACTACAATAAGTGTTAATATAAATCACTTTTACTCGCTCACGTAGTAAAAAGGGTTGGCTTAAGCCCTACTACTTGCATCCTAATCCCTTACCCCGTTGTCTATTAAATAATGTTAATAAAATTTAAAATACTCATGAAAATTGTTATTTATGTCAACTATATACATAATAAATAAAGGAACATTATAAAAACATCCATTACAGTTCGTGGTCTGATTGACCAATTATAATTTTTCAATTAATTAATATTTATGGAAGGTATTGGTTGAGATAGAAAAGTCAGTGTCACGAGCGGGATTCGAACCCACGACCTTCGGCCAAATACGCCGCTGCTGTACCACTTGAGCTACCGGGACTTCGATCCACTCGGAGCTTTAGTGAAGATATACTTCATTTTACTGATTAAATCCATTAGAGTTCGTGGTCCAATTGACCAAATAACTTTTTTTTTCCATTAATTAATCTTTATGTAAGGTATTGGTTGGGATAGAAAATGATTCTCTTTTTATCTCATTTCATTTGTCGCCGAGAATCGAATTGATTACACAACATTTCAAAAATGGCAAAAAGGAGGGAAAATTCAAAAGGTGGGGTTGAGATGGGAAGTTAGTGTCACGAGCGAGATTCGAACCCACGACCTTCGGCTTGATACGCCGCTACTCTACCACTTGAGCTATTGAGGTAGAGTAGCAGCGTATCAAGCTGAAGGTCGTGGGTTCGAATCCCGCTCGTGACACTGACTTTTCTATCTCAACCAATACCTTCCATAAATATTAATTAACTGAAAAATTATTAAAAAACTTATTATTGTAGTTTTTCATTTAAAAAATTATTGGGTCTAAAAAGACCCTCTAAGGCAATTCACGTTGTTCATACTTGAGATTGTTAACAAAAATATTTTGATTGCAGTTCAAAACAAATTTTTATGTACTCTCATAAAGACAGCAAAACAGATATGTATGTTTTCAATGGTTTTAACACTGCACTCATCATCACCTTTCTTTCCAACATATTGTGTCTTCTTGTAGCTTTTGAACGTCAGCGATGTTTTGGGCAATGAGAGCTTCTCTTTCAGATAGCATACTTTGATTTGTGAGCAGTACTTCTTCCAAATGATGCACCAGGCGTTGGGTTTTTTCCTCTTCTTGTCTTTTAGCTTCTTCAAGATGCTTCTGAAGTTTCATAAAAATTGTCTTAATAGATAATACTGTGTTTTAATCGATCAAAACCATTAAATACTTACTATCATAAAATGCATACGACTCTGAGGAGACTCTCCATCAGTTACTTCATCCGTTTGATCTGCATTTGTATACAGGCTTGCAATATCGAACTGTTTCGATAACTCCTTATACATCTCAGCTTTATCTCTCGTCAGCTAAAATTTGAAAAGTTTAATTCAACTACATTACTTAAAAAAGTGTATATCACAATTTACATTAGAACAGAGTTCTCTTAAATGATTGAGCTCATGTTCTGCAGTGCTTGCTCTTTGTCTCAGCATGCACAACTCTTCCTGAGCTTTTGCATACCGGCATTCCAGCCTAGTCAGCTAAAGTAAACCAAATGACCCATGAATTTAACCATTTAGCATTGTGTATAAAAGTTTCCAAATACCTGAGTTTGCAAAATGGAAATTTTGTCATCCCTTGACGCTTCTGCTTGCCTGCAATCTTCGAGTTCATATTTCAATCGTTCTGCTTTATTCAAAAGACTGGCAGCAGTTTCTTCGAGTTTCTCTTTCTCAGCGAATGCTTCACAATGGAAAGGATGTAATGGTCCTTTTATCGGCTATCCAATTATTTAAAATAAGTAAATATTTTTATTATTTTCAGTATTTGTAATTGAATTACCAAGGGAGATGTGGAATGTTTTGGTGTATCTGATGCACTTGCTGTCTCGCCTTCACTACTGCCTGAACCAGTTCCTAAAAATTGTATTCACACTTCAACAATTTCTTAGTTAAAATTTTAACATTTTACCTGTTATTACCTCTTACTTGTGATTGTGAAGGGCCAGCTAATTGATATTCCCCTTTACTGTAAATAATTAAATTGGATTTTTATTTCAGGAGAAATTTGTGGAAATGAGAATTATTTTTTCTGACAATTTAATAAAATATAATTTTACGACTCAGCAACCCTAAGAAACTTCTGAACAAGTCTCAATCACACAAAAATATTTCACTTAATGTTGCTCACATTTTTACTTAATTTGTGCTTTTAGCAACTATAAATCTACATTTAACATAATAAATTTAGAATTTTACTTTTACATTTTTTTGTTAAAAAAAATTAAACAATGGTTTGAAAATGCAGAGGTCATGTCAAACCTCAGGGTGTCAGTGTTTTTGAAAAAAGCCTGTTTGTAAGTATGTCAGGTTCGGATGTAGGATTCGAACTTGGTACTTTTACCTTACAATAATGAGCGCTGAGTCAACGCCTAAACCGTTGAGGCCACCAAAATTATTATAATGCTTAGGACATATTAAGCTTAATATTATTATTTCTATTGAACACCAATGTGTTTACTTTAAAATATATTCAATTAATTTTCTGCCCAATTAAATTAATTATTAATTTGTCAATGATAATATTTTAGTTACAACAAAATTGGGATATTTTTATAATTTTTTTTGTAAATCAGTTAATATTAAAAGAGAATTTTTAAACATGTGTGCGTTCTACATTTTATTAAATCAACATAAAAATACTTCAAGTTACTTGAAGAACAAACATCACAAACATCTAAATTATTTAATATACATAAATTTTCTAATACCATTGTTATGTTATTGTTGTAATTGTACTGATAACTTTTAAAAATGAATCGACAAAAAATATCAATGAATTTCGATGGGAAGAGGAATTTGGAGCAACGGAAGGTTTACAAAGAACATCTTTTAAGGGTGATAATCTTATCCATAACAGCGTATTGAGTTCTGAATGCAAATAAACTCAAAAAGATTTAACCTTTTCTTTGTTTTGCAGATAAAAAACCCACAATCCAAAATAAATAATTCTGCACCACCACTTCCAGTTGCCTTTTATTATGATGCAGGAAATTTAGACAATGATACAAGAAGAATTGATGAAATAGACAGTAAAAATATGAATCTGTTAAAACATATCAACACCATTTATAGGACTATTGTATATATCAATTTCCTTCCCTCAAAAAAACATTTTAAAAAAGTTATATATTTCGTTAATATTACAGGGAAAAGTTGATTCGAGTTTTCCAACTCTATTGAGATCTACAAACTTTTATGGCCGAGTGCATAACAATAAGAAAATTGAAAAAGAAAATAAGTTATTTTATAATCTTTTGATGAACAAGGTATATAAGTTTTTTTTTTTAAACTCTAGGACCAGTATCAGAAAATTATATTTTCATAGTAAAAAAAAAGCAAAATAAAATATTGAGTTTTAGGGCACTTACTATAGCCGTAAAGAGCTTGAGAAAGACTATGCGAGAAATTTGGAAAATGTGGTATTTGCTTCACGACACCCAGAATTTTATAATGAAGAGTATTTCCTATTGCCGTTGGAACGATGGGATATTATAAATCCTGCAATAACTAAGCCCAACCTTCTTCCTCACGGGGAACCAAAGAGGGTCAGATGTTTGTTCCACATCGGTATTGAAGATAAAATGGGTCTTAGGAAATTGGGTAAACTGCTTATTGAAGTTTACCGTGACTGGGCGCCAAAACAGGGAGACCATTTTTTAAATCTCGTTAGGGGGTTCAATGGCAAATCTTATGTAGGCAGTCCATTTCATAGAATTCAAAAAGGGTTTGCTTGTGTCTCAGGCGATGTCACAAAAAAGACAGGATTAGGCGTCTACTCAATTTATGACGAATGTTATCCAAATGAAAATAACTATTTACAGTTTAACGGTCCAGGTAAAATTTTCTTTTGTATCTGAGCTAACTGTTTTTACACATTTATAATTGCTCATTAGGTGTTGTCTCATCATTCTCACTGAAACCAGGCCATAATCACTCGCAATTCATGATTTCCTTTCGAAAACTGGAAATATGCAATAAAGAATTTACAGTCTTTGGAAGAGTTGTTCTCAGTTTAGGAACATTGAGCAGTGTTAGTTTTATGTTAAAATTTATTGCAAAACAACAAAGATTAATTAGATTTGTTTTTAGATTGAAGAGTATGGTACGGCTAGTGGAGCACCAACTAAAAAAATTGTCATAACTAAATGTTCCATAATGAAATCCAATACGAATTTCCTTGATAACACTCTTGAAAAATACCCAAAACTCAATCTCGGCCGAAGGCTGACAAAGAGAATGAAAGAAGATATCGAGAAATTTGCACTAAAATCTGAATGCGGATGCCCTCTTTATAGAGCCATTTCAGATTCTTCTGATGAATACATGGACTTGTATGCTGTAAACGAACAAGGTTCACATGATGCAATTAAACGACAACAACCGTCAATGGATGGGTTGAGAATGGAGAAGCAATCAATTGATACATTGATAACAGAGAAACGATCCATTGAAACGTTGAGAGCTGAGAAACGCTCTATTGATACGATGTTATCAGAGAAACGATCTACTGACACTGTCAAATCTGAGAAACATTCCATTGATACAGTGAAATCGGAGAAGCGCTCCTTAGACGCAATAAAACCAAAAAAACATTCTGTTGATACAATGAAAATAGAGAAACATTCTAACGACACAATGGATCATATCTCAAATGAATTCAAACGAAATAAATCTAGTCTACAAAAATTCAGTTCAGAACGAATATTAACAAAACAACCTACACAGGAAAGCATTCAAAATGGAAAAAGAAAGAAGGAGCATATTTATTGGAACAAATGAATAATGTTAATGACGTACATCTCCTATAAAGTTCAACATTAGTTGTTCAGTTTGTATGATTCCGCACTCTTGGGAATTCAATACACAATCATTAAATACTAGTTTTTAAATGGCCATAGTGCGTATGTATTTGTTTTGTCATATATATATGTAGCTGGGGGAAGGGTAGCATGAAAAAAAGGGCCAGGGACAACAGTGCGAATCGAACCCACGACCGCGGGATCTATGAGCAGAGAGTCTGTCACCTTTTTTAATTGCTTTTTTCAAAGATGAAGTAATTGACGAAGGAAAAGAAAAAACGTGGTTGAAAGATTGATAAGGTGGAAAGATTAATAACAATTAAAAAAATTGAATAAATTTATTAAACGGTTTTTAATTTTGATTCGAAACCACCCTCCGCATAGAATTTTGGACGCACCGCCATCGCATTAAACCTGCAAAACCCGTACATAAAATGTATGTCAGCGTATTCTTCATTAGAAAAAGTAGCCATAGTGTTACATAGAAAAAATTTTGAATCTTTAAAACTTTTATTCCGGAGAATAATAATAAAATAATCCTTTAATCAAAGTTCCCATCCTGTTGGTAAATAAGAAAACTTGCACTTTTTCGAACCCAATTAAAAAAACTTTAATAAATTCATTCAAAAATTTTTGTTTAAATTTTCCACCTTACCATTCTGTTTATTATTTCCTTTCCTCCATCAATTACTTCATCTTTGAAAAAGTAATTAAAAAAGAAATTACACCATTAAAAGGGATATTAAATGCAGTACGTTTTCTGAAATTTTGCTGCTCTCTAGGTTTGGAAGTAGAAGTTTAGAATTATTATGGTAAATTATTCAATTTTGAAATTTTTTTTTCAAAGTTCTCGCTTCTAAAACACTTATTTCCCGAAATTTTATAAGTTTATTATTGATCCCATCTTATTGGAAATTTAATGCGGTTTTCAATGGTAACAACTTTTAGTTTTGGAGCTATCATTGTTTATTTGAAGCAAGGTTGTGAAATCCTGATCTAGCAGTTGGAATCTTTTTTAATAAAAACCAAACTACATTTAAATCTCAAAAATAATTGATTGGCAATTAAAATATTAAAGTTCTAGATGATTCAAATTCTGTCTAGAATTTAATCTTTTCCTTTGTATTATATTATGCCAACGTAATATCACTGGAATATGTGACTAAATTGAACATCACAAATTTAATAGTGTTTCATTAAAACTAAAACAAGACTGTTTTGAAATGTTAAACTTTTTTTACTCTTTGACTATATCTATAACAATTGAAGAAACCCGTCATTTTAATGCAACTAAATATGCATATACTTAAAAGTTTATTAAATCATTTTGTTAATTATGCTAAGGTTTCTATTAAATATTTATTTTGAATAATGGTTTATTAGGACCTTATTTTATTGAGCTTCAATGTATAAGGTGCCAATAAACCATTATTCAAAATAAATATTTAAAAGTTTATGTAAATATTATCTGTAATTACAATTAATCAAGGATTTTAGTTGAGATAAAAAAGTCAATGGCACGAGCGGGATTCGAACCCACGATCTTCGGCTTGATACGCCGCTGCTCTACCACTTGAGCTATCGTGACCTCGATCCACTCGGACACCAACTTCCCAACTCAACTGCACCTTTTGAATTTTCCCTCCTTTTTGCCATTTTTCAAATGTCGTGTAATCGGGTTGGATTCTCGACAACAAATGAAATGGCCACGGAGAGCTTTAGTGAAGTATACTTCATTTTTAATCAATAAATTCACTAATTTCGTGGCCAGCTTGACCAATTAATATATTACAATTAATCAAGGTTTTTAGTTGAGATAAAAAAGTCAATGGCACGAGCCGTTGAGAATCCAACCCGATTACACATTTGAAAAATAGCAAAAAGGAGGGAAAATTCAAAAGGTGTGGTTGAGATGGGAAGTTGGGGTCCGAGTGGATCGAGGTCACGATAGCTCAAGTGGTAGAGCAGCGGCGTATCAAGCCGAAGATCGTGGGCTCGAATCCCGCTCATGCCATTGACTTTTTTATCTCAACTAAAAACCTTGATTAATTGTAATATATTCGTTGGTCAAGCAGACCACGAAATTAGTGAATTATCTGTAATTAATCGCACTTGCAATATTTTAAAATAAACACTGCGCATGCTTTATATATTGCATTAAAATAATATGATAATCATATATTATATTGTAATAATGTAATATTGCTATAACTTTTAAGAGTTTATGCTTCTAAACATAAATAATGTAAATTTTGCATTGTTTAGGGGGTTTATACCATTACTATTGTTTTTCTGTTGTTATAAAATTTACCTGGTTACAGTTGCTTCATCTGCTTCCACTAAAGAAACTGGGACGACTGTGTTCTGTCGTATGAAGTAGCCACCTTTTTCCGTGCTATGCCAAAATGGTGGGTCCTCTTCATCCGAGTCTTCGTCAATGTCTTCAACATCATCAATGTCATTATCAGTATCTTTTGAGCCGCCGACCCCTGCACCCCTCATAGCGAGAAGGAGCTTACGCTTTCTCTTTAGGGGTCGAGTAACAGGCTCCGACTCGCTATCTGATTTATCCAAGTTAATTAAACCTGTTGCTGTTCTGTTACAGCTTACATTACATATACCACCAATGACAAAATTTAAAGAGGGAAACTTACTTGATGGCTTATCATCTCGAACTTCAGCTGAATTGTTGTTTTGTTCTTGTTGTTTCGAATTAGGACTAGGACTGTTAGCTGGAAACAAGACCTGGCTGAGATCTACAATCGCTGGCTGGATGTTTAAAGCTTTTACATCAACAAAGTATTTATCATAGCTTTCAGGAATTTGACCATCCTCCACAAACACGTCGTCGACTAAGTATTGAGGACTTTCACAGCTTGGAAGTTCATTGTATTGATTTAAAGGTATTATTTGATCTGTAGAACTTTCACTTGCATTGCTGTCTGCATTTATAGATACTGAATCAGTTTCTTGCTGATTTTCTTTAATAGGAGTAAGCATAGAGATCGGTGGGGGTAAGCTGACTTCAAGAATTTCATGGTTTTCTTCGCAATGCAGTCCTATAATTTCGTTATCGTCATTTTGAAGAAAGTGTATTGGCGGTGGAGGGAAAACAGTATCTCTTTCTAGAGAATCAAGTTCATTATCATTACTTTGGTCAGGATATGAGATAAATTGGATTCCACTTTCCATCGACATATCGGCTATTTCTTCAACATTATCAAAATCTATGCTGTTATTGTGGTTGCGTTCTTGCATTGTTGATGATTTGTCCTCAATTTTCAGATTTATTTCTTGATCTAGTTTTAGTGGTTCTTTGGGTTTGGGCATGGTAACTTTTGCTAGTTGCCTCAATGCTTCATCATAACACACCAATTGCGCATCTATACTCCCTTTATCAAAACTTGCTGGCTTGTGAAGTACATCAACACTTTTCCAAAATTGCGGCTGCCCAGAAAGTGTAATAGATTTATTTCTATTATGTCTCTTATTTTTATAAGATTTACTATCATCAGTGTTATTTTCTAACAACTCTAATGAATGGGATTCTCTGAATAAATTTTTTGTCGGGACGGTACATATGGATAATGTTTCATCTAGATTACCTGTGGATTGAATTATTTCAATGCTTAAACTTTTCCCATCAATGTCATCTAAGTTATCCAGAGAAGCTGAAACACCTGTCTCATAACTCCGTTCCTCTAAATTGTCATATGACTGACATGTTTCCATATGTGGCATCTTCTCATCATTGGACTTTTTAACATTATCCTCAATTACAGTTTGATTGTTTAAATTTAAATCTGTCTTTGTTGTGTTAAGCTCATTATTGTTATTTGCTGATAAAAATGTCTCTGTGGGTTTCGTGTTATCCAATAAAACTGTGTTGTTATTATCAGAATTGGGTTTCTCCTTTAATATTTCATGTACTATTTTCACTTCAAAGTCTTCATTTTTTCTTTCCTACAAATGATAAATAATTAGCATCTTCAAACTGTAAAACACAATTTAAATAAGAGAGTTACTTGAATAGGTGAATCTTGATCAGAAGACAAATCAAGAGAATGGGCCCGTTCTAATGGTGAACGAGTTCTTCTTTCGGGTGTGGGAACAAGTTCTTTATTTGGATCAGGACTTAATCTCATATCCGTAGGGATGAAGTCTCCTGGCAAACCACAAATAAAGTGAATTATGTTTGTGTAAAGTGAATTTTACTAAATTTACCTGCTGGGCTTAGAGCAGATGGTGATACCAACTCACTACTTCCACATTCATCTCTTTTCAAAGTAAGAGTAAGCATTCCTTTTCTTCTCTCAACTCCATCCTAGTTTGAATAACATAAATAACTTTATGTTTTTTTTAAAGTATTCTACTTTACCTGGTCTATAACTCCTGATTGGATGAGGTCCCAACTTTTCGGAGGTTCTAAGGCCGGAGGGATAACACAAGATTTTGGAGAATCTTGTATTTCTTCATTTGTTTCACTCTGTTCAGGGATATTCTAAAAGAAATAAATAATAAAACTGAAGAAACTAGAATTTAGGCTAGACCTCATTTTGTTTTAAAGTTTACCTCAAAGTTTACATGCTCAGAAGGATCTGAAGATTGCACACTCAGCTTGTCACTATGGTCAAGTGCCACATCTTCATTTTTGAGCACTTTCAAGAGATCAACAAGATCTTGATGCCCCCCAAATTGTGCATAATCTTCTGCTGTCCATCCTAGGATTATTAAACTCATTCAAAACCAATACTACTAAGAAAAGGCATTTTTCTAATTAAAGTCGTTCTTTGAATTAAAATGAAGTATGGAAAAATTATCACCTATAAAAAGGTAAAAATGGCTTTCAAAGTCATCTTAAGAAAATTAGCTCTTTTTGCAATCACTATTGTCAAAATGGTTAAATCAATAAATAGAAATATAATTTTCTATGTGTTCACTGATAAAGCACAAACTTTGAGTTATGTCAATTAAACTTTATTTAGAAATCCTATATTACTTTTTGCTAAATTATCTACAGCTAACAGTTTTTCTGCTTTGAATCACTACAGAGAAAGAATTATATTAAAAAAAAGAGTTTAATACAGTTAACTAACAGTATATTTTACTAAATTC